GGTGATGTGGGTTGGCTTTAAATCTTTGAAAAGTTCCTTGTCATTGGTTATATAATTTGCGTAACCACTATCAATCAGCCAACTCTCACTCTCTTCGCTGCTTGTAAAACATGTGGCTACAAATAGTTGATCCTCCTTCTCCTCCTGATCAACAACCTTAGCTTCTTCCTCTTGCTGCTAATTTTTGCTCTTGCATATGACTGCTTCATTTCCCATTTGATTGCACTTGATGCATTTAGCATCAGGTCTCTTCCAACATCTGAATGGAGGGTGACCCATTTTGTCACAATGCTGGCAAGGTGGATAACTTTTCTTTTCACCATTTCCTTTGTTGTAATTATTTTCACTGCTTGACTGCCGACTGGATGATTCTTCTTGTAGTTTTTTGTTTGTTGGCTGTTGGCTACAAGAGCACCTTCAATGGCATGATCTTCCCTCATCAATCTTCGTTGCTCTTGGGCTTGAAAGACATGTATCACCTCTGCAAAAGTGATTTTAGACAGATCCTATGTATTCTCCAACGAAGCAATAGATGCTTCATACCTCTCTGATACCGTTTCTAGAATTTTCTCAACAATTCTAGCATATGCAAAATCACTACCCGACAACTTTATCTTATTGGCAATACCCAACAATTTATTTTATTATTCCTTGATTGTGTTAGACTCTTTCATCCTCTAAAGTTCAAATTCCCTCATTAAGTTAAGCACCTGCATGCTTTGAACTCTTTCATCTCTAGCATATTCTGCCTTTAGATAATTCCAAATTGCTTTTGTTGATTTGAGAGTCATGATCCTAGTAAAGATGGTTGTAGAGGCACTACAAAAAATGGTATGACTTTGCCTTTACTTTTTAAGTTTTTTTCTCCTTATGATTCTTGATTTGGGCCATGGTGTGATTGTTCGACAGCAAAAGGACTTCATAATTCTCTTCTATAGCTTTCCAAAGATCTAAAGCCTTCACGTAAGCCTCCATTTTGACAGCCCAAAGATCATAGTTTTTTCCATTGAAAACTAGAAGAGCTACTTGGGAAAAACTTGTTTCAAAATTCATTTTAAAGGTTTCGTAAGAAAAGGGCTCTGTACCAATTGCTAGAAATTTTTAAGAGAAAAGAAAAGCAGAATTTGCTTAACAGAGAACAAGAACATATATTGAAGGAGAAAGAAAAAAGCTTGCGTTCTTGAAACCAAAAACCTAACAATTTATAAGGCTTAAAGAATAACTCCCCACTAACAACATGGTCCTAGGAGTAAGCTATGAACACAAACAGAGATAACAAAGTACCAACTGACTCCTTAAAACTAGGAAAGCAACAATAAATAAAAATAACAAAATCAGAACGTGGACATATTTCAATCTTAAAGCATTTTCGTAACACAACCATTATAGATATTTTAGGTGTTTAATCTTTGCTAACAGAACTCAATGTTCAAGTACAAATGTGTCCCACCATTTACTGTGATAACTTAGGTACTATCTAGCTCTCAGCCAACTCAATACTCCATAACAGAACAAAATATTTTGAATTGGATTTACATTTTGTTTGAGAAAAGGTTCTTATTCGTAGATAAGTGTACCTATAAAAAAGTAATAAAGAGTTTTTGAATTAAGAGTTTCCAAATTATTGTTCTATAGAGATTATTTTCAAGTACCAAGAATAACTTAATTTGATTGTTTAAACGTAGTGGGATTGTAACGGATCAAGAACAGAACTTAATTTTAACAATAAATTAAAAGAACAGTAATAGAATGTAGAGAGAAATCATATGAGATGAGCCTAGGACTTATAGGTTCACCTACTACACTTCTTTATATTCTGATTAATTTAATCCTTATATTGGTATTCAAATATTTGTCAACCACTCAAAATTAGTTCTATTAACACCCAATGATTATGCAATATCAATATTCTTTTCCCTGAGCAAATACCTCTAATAATCATACAAGGTAATTGATCAAGAAAGCATAAAGATCCTATGAGTTTGTTAATTCAATTACTGTTGAAAGAAAGGAATTAAGTATGATTAACCTAACCCCTTATCTCGTTTTATCCTATAGTTCTGTCAATTACACGTGGTATAATCGCCTACAATGCAACTAACTATGGGATGCTAAGGTTAACCAAATCTTAACATATACAATATAATTCAATAGAATAAAACCAAATATTAAAGAAAAATCAATACCAACATTAAAGTAAAAATCATATGAAGTTTGTAGTAGGATCCGCCATAGCCTTAGCTATAAGTTTAATTACTTATAATAAAATAAACTACGAAGAACGTGATAAATAAACTCATAATCACAAAGAAAAATTCAAACAAAAGAAACTCAGAAAGGTAGAAGGTAAAGAAAGTTCTCGTTCTCCGAAGGTGTGCTAAATCACTTGCTTAGACTCCAAGGAGAAACTCGTCGTCCTTGCCAATAGTCTCTAATGACTCTCAAAGATGAGTTTGGGTAGAACTAAGAAGAAAAAGAAAGTTTATAGAGAAGTGGAAGCGTCAAGTGTGGAGCATAAGGCCTTTTTATATAGACTGTGCCTTGAGTTTCCAATTGGCTGAGCTCTATATTTTCAAATTAGTTTTATCCACAATCAGAATCTTAACTTGAAATTGCTCCAAATCTTTATTTAAGTTTAACTTTTAAATTCAAAATTCAAACTCAGATTCACATAGTACTGCCAAATACTGAAAATATCTAATTTTTATCCAGAATATTTTCATAATGCACTAATAACAACTTTCAACTAAACTGCAATAATTAATAATATAATTAGTGTAAATATATAAAAAATAGAGTTTAAGTGTATAAATATAAGTTATAAAATATATCAAAATATGAACTTATCAGTTATTAGCAAGAAATTTTCAATTTATCATCTTCCTGACATTTATTAGATTGCAGATGGTCTTACAAAGGCTATCTTTAGCACCAAATTCTCTTATTTTGGATCCAAACTTAGTGTTCACTCAATACATGAACCTAAGTTTGAGGAGGGAGTTTTAAGATGAAATATCAGTTGGGAGTCTATTAGTCTATCTATTGTTTCACTTGTTGTAAATATCCCTTTTCTATAACTACACAACATAACATACAATATATAATACATCAATATGCTTTCATTCTATGCTAAAGCACTTCTGTCATTCTTTTATATTTATCACCAATTTTTTTTTCTAAGTTTAAGCTACATGTTAATGTTATGGATTTCATTGGATCTGCTTCTTTTATAATATTTAAAAATTCACTATTATAGTTTATTAAAAAGTTTGCAAAACAATTAAAAATAGAGATGACTGAGGTGGATTGTGTTGATATTGGTTTAATTTAATTCTTTATATTTGTTTAATCTATAATATTTTTAAAATAGTTTTCTACTCTTGTAAGCAAATGTGAGTAATGGATTTCCTCTTGAAATTGATGCAATGTTATTTAATTTCTTTTTATTCAAAGTTAAAATTACTCAAGCAAATTTAGATGCCAATTAAGTTTCATACAAAAATGTTAAGAGACTTGCTGATAGTGTTGATCTAATTAATCAATTTAAGTCATTACATAATATTAATGATTAAAATTAAGGTGTTAAATTTTGTTTTCAAAATAAAACACTAAATTTTGCATATTAGTAGAATAATGATGCCAGTAATGTAAAAGGATATTCGGATGACACTTTGTTAACTCAAATGAGAGTTATATGGACAGATGTAAAATATTTAATAAAGAGAAAGAAATTGTATTTTATTTTGTGTATATATATATATATATATATATATATATATTAACTTTAATATTACATGTTAATGCATTTATTCTTGCATAGTTTAAAGTATTTTTTAATTTTAATAATAATAGTTTACTTTAAATTTTATTATTAAAAACTAATAATTAGCATCTAATTAATAAGAAATAATGGAATGAATAAATAAAAATTAGTAATTTTATATGTTTAAAAAGTCATGCAATAATAGAATGAATGAGAATTAATATTACTTTAGTACAATTAATAACTCAATATTAATAGTTTATTTTAAATTTTATTATTAAAAACTGATAATTAGTACCTGATTAATGAAGAACAGTGAAATAAATAAATAAAAATTAAAAAATAAATATTTAAAAAATCATATAACAATAAAATGAAAAATAATTAAAATTATAAACACTAAATTAATATTAAAGTAAACTATTTAATAAAGTCATTCTTTTCTTTTAATTTATATTTAAATTTTAAATATATAAAAATTTATATATAAAAATATTTTTATCATATTTTTAATATAATTATATTTGATATTATTCAATATAATAAAATTTTATTATTATATAGTTTTTATGTTTAAATTATAATTTTTTGTTTATTTTAAAATAAAATAATTTAATAAATAATATAAATAAATTTGTGTAACGCACAAATATATTCATTGATTTATAATTAAATTATTATTATTAAAATTTGTAATATTTAAAGTCACATATAAATTAATTTAATGTTATATTTATTTTTTTATAAATAATTTATTTTAAAAAAAATAATCAAATTTTTATTTAATATTATTTATGTTTTTATTATATTAAAAAGAATTATTTGTATATTGAAGTTATAATTATTTTAAGATTAAATTAAATAATATATATATATATATATATATATATATATTTGTACAAATCTATTCAATGTAATGTATGAATATATTTATTAATTTTGTTTAATTTTTGTTATTATTTTATTAAAAAATAAACGTAATAATTAAATTTTTTAATGTGTCTAATATTCACTATAATAAATTATAAGATTTAACATTATTAATAAATTAAAATTTTCAAAATAATTTTTAATATATATTTATACATATATAAATTTATATTATGTGCGTTTGGCATACAGCAAAAGAAAATGTTAATTAATTAATTATATTATATTATTTTAAATTATTTTATTTCGCCGCATGTTAGAATAAACTGGGGATGGTTACCCATAAGTTTCTCAGTTCTCACTTCACCTGATTCAGGAGTTCGCCTTTACACACAATGTTTCTTATATTTGCATGTAGACTTTTATTTCTTTGAGATTTGCATGTCATAAATCTTAATAGCTGTTCCATAATGTTGCCTCGCAGATCAAGTCGAAGAGGTAATCTTCAAAATGCGTTTATGGGTCTTTTATACACGATCACCAACTATATTCATGTACTACAATCTATTTTTTGCCATATTTTTGTTTTAATATTTCAAACAAAACTAATTGCATGCCCACTAACAAAAGCGTTTCGGCGCAGTTTAACTTCGAAGTTGTATATTTTGCTTGAGTAAATAGGTATATATTTAACATTCTTTTTATTTCTTGGTAAAATATAAATTGATCCTTCTAAATGATGAGTTTTACTTTCTATTTAGTGAGTGTAACACTTCCTTTGATGAAATCTGCTTCTATTCATTGGTGTGTAGGATTAAAGGCTGAAACTTTGTCCATGCTTTTATTGCCCGTGTACCGTAATGGGGAGATTTTGGACTTTGGGGCTCAACTCCAGTAATGCCAAACAACTTTGGCCAAAAAATTTGATAATATTCAATTTTTCGGTACTTAGTAGTATTAGTACATTGAATTAGATAATATTAAAAGTTTACTATATAACTTCTTATTTTGTACAATGTTAAGCAAGTTAGAAAAATCATATAATATTTATTATGATGCTGAAAACAAATTGCATTCAAGTTAGAATTTTGAATACACAATCTGTCAATATGTAACTAGGAAGCATGGATATGGCTAGAAGGTTGTCATGGCTGTACCAAACACGTCTCTCACACAAATACATCAGTGACACATTCTGATGTGTGTTGTATTAATTAGTAGTTATAGCAAATAATTAAGATAATATATTATCTTCTTTAATAATTTTAGTCTATTATGATTTTTTTACTTTATGTTAAAGAGTTGAGGTTTTGTGTTTGAGATGTTTTATTTTGTGATTAAAATATCTTATTTTTTCATTTTTTGCATAACATATCATTGCTGTGTTGTGCCGTCAAATCCCTGTCATGTTATATCTGTATTCCATGTCATGTCTGTGCTTCTTAGTATGTAAATATACAGATATTGTACTCCAAGAAGGGACATTGGTTTATTGGTGTTATTTCCAAAATTGGAGATAATCATGTAACCAACCTAAAGTCCCTCATTAAGAAAGACTTTATCTCAGATCCTTGCACTCAATGCAAAATAACCATACCTGTTCAGCACTTTTGATATTAGTGCATGCCTAGAAAGGTTTTGATGTAGAAAAGAACCCTTAATGCCAGGTTGATAAGAGGAGAGAAGGTCTAAACATATATGTGGGGTTCAATGCCTTCCAATCAGCTGATATGGTTCAATTAATCACACTTAGGTTGGAAAGAGTGATTAATTCACGCCAGGGTGAGCAAAACCAGTCTTTGTTATCCTTGATGTAGAGGAAAATCCACTCCTAGAAACAAGGCTGATAAGAGGGGAGACCTTTCAATATGATTGGGAGTTTTATGTCTCACAACCATGGGATAAGGGGACTCACTTGCCTGTGTCATTTTTTAATTTAAGTAGAAGCTATTTTAGCTATAGTTGTCAGAATTAGTAGATCTGTTCTGCCAAAATGAGAATGGGCTAGGGTTATGAACTTATTATCTATAATCTGATGATCAAATTGATTCCATAGTTATAAGTTCATTCTATACCGGACCGAACCGGACCAAAATAGAGTTATATACATTATCATTATGAGAAGGGGTATCTAAATAGATACTGTGTTTACATATAAGTCCCTCAGTTGTTCTATTCCATTTAGGATTAGAAATAGGTGTGATTGGACCTACTTTTTACATATCTCTCATTATTTAGGACCTTATTCACCTCTTTAGGCTTCTATTGAATTGAGTCACATGATGAATTGAACTTAGAACTGATAATTAAGGAGATAACTCCAATTATAGAGAATCAGTAGGCAAGGTGTTAGGACTAGGGAGGAAGAACAAATGATTGACACTAACAAGACATCTAAAGTATGAAAAGTGTATGTTAGGAGGAAAGGAAGGAAAGAGTCAACGGTTAGTTAGTTAGTTGTTATTTGTTAATACCTTTTAAATAGAGTTAGGAGGAATAGGAGGGAATTATGTTTTTGTTTGTAGAGAAATACTGAGAGAAAATATTGTTCAGTGTTCAGGGAGCTGTTAGCTCTGGAGGATTCTTGAATCCTTATTCTTTTCAAGGCATTAATAAAGATTGTCAAAATTATTCAGTCTTTTGTTCATCTTTTTTCTGATTTTAAAAGCTTTGACCCTAACACAAGGAAAGAAGTTAAACCTTAGGTATAGGAAGTGTTGAGTGCAAAAACTAAAATTAGTTAACTCTTTCTTACTGAGTTACTATGCACAAGTAATCGTTCCAAAATAGTCCATCCAGCCCACAATTTGAATCTGGTGAACAGAGCAGTATATTTAAAATATGACCTCAAAGTGACCATCCTATTAGAATTTAAACTAATAAACTACTAATGATTAAATGCCTTGGCAGGTGCTTCAAGTAACTGGTTGAGCAAAACATGTCCATTTTGAATCCCTTGCTGTGCTGAATAATTTATTTGCCCATTTGATGTATGATTGATTCATTTCATATAGTTTTCCCTTCTATGATTGTTCATTTTCTAAATTGTTTCATATCACAACTGCAAAAATGGAGTTGATCTCAGTCTTTTGTTTTTGTTAACAAAATTTTTGGAGAATAATCATGCTTGGATGTGCAGTGATCCCTGGAAACTATTTATTTTACATGCTTCATTCTTATTTGAACTTCTCTATGCTTTAACTGGAGGTAGCTGGTTTTCTTCCCTGCCCTCATCCTCAATTTATTGTCAAGATGAACTTTCATCTAAGACATTTATCACTAAATTCACCCTTTTTATATGCAGTGGGTAGTTTTACAGCTGAAGTAGAAAATGGAGCCCCATTACCACCGCCCAATCCTACCACAAATTTACAAGGGGATGAAGTTAAACCACTTTCTGGAAAACCATACTGTCTTATGATTCTTTCAAAAACAAATCTCAGTCCCCGTTATGCAATGGTAATTTCATAATTGGTTTTACAAACTCTCATGCTATTTCATTTTCTTTTATCATAAAAGCAACAAAAAAAAAAGAAGAAGAATAAGAGAAAGTAGCCAAAAATGACCACAATTTGGTCTATTAGCTCTCTTCCAAATTTTAGAAGAGGGGTTAAATTTAAGATCATGAATGAGGGTCCAGCTCACCCATGTTTGTGTACATCAACTATAAAGGCAAAACAGAATAAAGAAATGAAAGGATAAGCTTGACTATATTCAATGTCTTTCATGGTACCAATGTGGTTATAATGTTTTTGTCTATGCGTCATTATGTCTAACTTATCACCTCTCTAATGTGATTTTCTCCTCATTTGGATCATGTTGAAATTAGAGAGTGATATTTAAGATGGGAGTTGCTAAATGGAGAACAGAATAATTTTAGAGTAGTCAGACACATGTCCATGTGATCTTCTAACCTCTTACTAGATATCATGTTTAGCACATGTGGTTTTATGGTTGGAAACCTATTGGAGCTAACTTATTTGTTGTTTTAAAATGGTCCATTTGTTCTGTATCATAAAGAAAATTCATTTCTTTACTATTCCTTGAGAAATCTTGGGCACATTAAAGGACATCAAAATTTTTACTCTTTCATACATTGTCAATAGATGTAGTTGTTTGAAAGGTTGGGGAATAGTTAATTTTTTCCCAGCACATGGGAGAATCATTTTAAATCCTGTATTGTTGTATAGGGGCCGTCCACCAGCATAAAGTTAAAACTTCCTTCTACTATGGTCCGTACTGTTCTCACATATAAGGGCAAGAGCTGGGACATGGTGTATAATGGACATAGAAAAGGATGGAAATTGTTTGCTGCCAAAGGCTGGAAAAAGTTTGCGGTTGATAATTGTTTGAAGATTGGAGATGCATGCATTTTAGAGCTCATGGAAAGCAGAAACAAGAAAATCATCTTCAATGTTCAAATTCTTAGAGGAGACATCCCATCCAAATTTCTTGAAAATGACACCATGGGTCAGACTGCAGAAATGGCAATTGTCATCGACTAATATTCTAGTGTATTTCGTTTTCCTTATCTTTCTGAGATGATTATGTGTTATTTGATATCTTTTTGGGTGAGTAGGTTGGTGGATGGATTTTGTCCCTGCTGCAACTTGTTAGGAATAGTAATGTGATTTATTCCATGTTTTATGCTATTGTTTGTTTGTTTAATGAGTTTAATGAATGGGAGGGAGTGGAATTTAGGAAATTTCTGGGTCCTCAGTTTGGGGAGCAATTGGCTTTGAGCAGCAAAGGGACACCCTTATTTAAATACTCATTTTTTTTATTTGTCCAATTAAGAGGATAATACACATGTTAAAGAATAAAATTAATATTTTAGTTTTGTTAATCTTAATTGTAATGAGCCACCAGAAGGCATCACTCCTTCATGGCTTAGTTATCCCGTTAAGTGTCATTTAAACTCTAATCTTGACCCTTTTGGATACCAATTTTTGACTCTTTTTTTTTTCACAATCAAACATAATTATCAACAATTTTTAGTTCACTGACCTTATCTCTTTCCTTAAGGCTCGTGAGTTTACTTCCTATGGACTTTAGTTACATTTTTCTCAAAAAGGTTTGACACATCACTCAAAAGATTCATTTATTATTACTCCAAGCATTCTCACCAACGCCTTTATTCTTGTAAAGATTCTCTTTTATGAATGGAGAGTCTCCATCCTCCTATCAAATGCACTCATAACATTTCAAAATCCACATGTAAACATGTAGGCATATGCAGTTAGGTGTTAAACCTCCAAGCATTCTCACCAACGCCTTTATCCTTGTAAAGATTCTCTCATTTATGAATGGGGAGTCTCAATCCGCCTAGCAAATGCACTCATGACATTTCAAAATCCACATGTAAACATGTATGCATACGCCAAACCATTTATCTTGAAACATTTTCCAAAAATTCACTATCACAAATCAAAGGGTATTTCAGATATACATTCTCATATATTTGATAGTACACAACACAAATATTTCATGTAAGGTATCATTTAATTTATCCAAATAATTTAGAGTTAAAGGCACCATATCCCATTTAATCCTACTTCTTTATTGGTTACTTGAAAACATCTTTTTCTCTTGTCTAAAAATGGTTTTTGTTGTAAGCAAGTATCAGGCCTAACCGATGCACGAAAAGAGTCAAAGTGTTCCCTGTTCAAGGGGAAACACGTGTGAATAATTAGGAATGTAATTTAATGAGGTTAGGTCATTCAATTACCCAAAGGACAAAATGCATGGCTAAGTACTTAACTTCAAAATTCAGAATTCACATATTTTATATACAATTACCAATAAGTGTAACTAGGTGATTTGTGGTCTAAATTGAGTTTAAGATAGCTCTTTGCAAAGCTATTACTGCAACGATTAATGTTAACTAGTTACCCTACAGTGATTTGGCATGGATTTTTACAGTAAACATGAATAAGGTTGTTTTGCAGCAAAGTCCAAAACTGAAACACTTACAATGATTGAAGTGTAAGTGGGTGAAATGACATTCGAATTGAGTCTTGTCAGTTTTGTTTGGAAGCTAGTGTCATAAGGATTTTAGAAATGTGCCTGCACAATTTTTTCCATGCGTGGATTAGTCCTTGCAACCAATTACGCATAACTATCCTCAGGATTCAGAGAAAGAGAGATGCTTACTTGATCCTGTTCTTTGGGGGTGCCTTTAGGGTCCAAAATAAGCTTGTGATAACTTGTTAGAAAAATGGTACTATAAAGAACACAGAAATTTGGTTAGGGAAAATTTTCCACTTGAAAATTTTGCTAAACATAAGGGAAAGGTCATTGTCACATGCAATTTTTGAAAAATATTTCATGCAGAATTCTACATTGATTAGTTTACGAGTTTTATATTGAAAGTAGGGAAAATAATGTCCAAATCAAATTCCGGAAATTGGGTTTGAAGTTAACATTATAAGGATCATGGAAATGTTTTTAAAGTTAAAGCAAATTCCGCAAATTGGATTTGAAAGCTAACATTATAAGGATCATGGAAATGTCTTTAAAGTCAAATCAAATTTTGCAAATTGGGTTTGAAAGCTAACATTACAAGGATCATGGAAATGTCTTTAAATTCAAATTTCGTGCATGCATAAGGTGCAGAAAAATAATGTTGCAGGAGTTATTTTGCTGATGTCACAGGGTGCACGACTACTTCATGAACATTTTTGAAGGATCAAATGAATTCCAAATCAGGCATGAGATAGCTTTACGAAAAAGTGATTCTACAAGGAATACAAAAATTGAAGTGCATGTCAATGAAATCAAACAGAGGTGGTAAAAAAAGAGGGCTTTAGTTGTGAATAGCAGCACCAAAAATTGGATATATTGGTGATTTTCAGTCCAAATCTTACTCCCAAAGTAGCTATGGACAACTAATGAAGTATACTACTTGAAGGGATAAGGCCAAGTTACAAATAAGAGGCTTGGGGTTGAATCATGCAGAATAGTTTGCATGTATGTGAGAAAAATCCATACTTCGCAAAGGTTTAGTAGGTTCTTGAAGAGAGTTACCTTGATGCAGATTGTTTGGCAAAAATTGTGAACTACGGGAGTTTGATCCTTGAATTCTGAGCGTTCAAAACTTGGTGTGATATCCTTTTGTTATACTTAAGAGTGCAGAAAGCTCGCAGTTCTTGGAGAAGGTAGTGATTCTTGGTGGAGATTGAGTGTTGCTTGCTCTTTGTTTTGTTGGTTGCTAAGGATACTAGATGGGAGTTTGGATGGAAGCTTTGGTGCCGGTTTGAAATGTCATGTAGAGGGGGGTTTTGGTGACGTGGGGAGAAGAGAGAATGAGGTGTTGTTCTTAGCTTGATGGGGAGGAAATGAAAGAAAAGGATAGATCCCTTGGTTTAGTGGAGAGTGAAGGCGAGTATGTTTGATGCCACATGGTCCTCGGTCTTGACTTGATGTTGCAGATAAGGTGTGCATAAGGATTCTTAGGTTCAGGACGTCATGTCGTGAGGGAAAGAAGTTTTAAATGCACGAAGACAAGAAAGAGAATGGTCTTAAGCTTATGCCAAATGAAACTTGGAAATGTGAGGCAGCAAGTTCACCTCTTCAGTTTTGGTGGTTCTCGGTCTGAGCAGAAATCTGAATATCTCCCTTGTCTTTTGTTGAGAAAATAATGAGTAAGTTGCAGCTAGTTCTCAATTCGATCATCATGGTACTTGAGTACTATCCCACTCATATTTGTCTTGAACCGAGAGGAGGGAAGTTTTTGTCTCTCATGCATAGATGTCTATTCATAACCTTTGTTCTCCTTGCATTGCCCTGAGGAAAAGGACTGCAATTCTGATCTCATACCCCACATGAACCTTAGTCTTGGCTTATGTAGGGGAAGGCATATTACCAACACTCATGTCAATTGAGAGAAAAGCCTTGGAGTTCTTGAAGTGATAATAATGGTTACACCAGAAACAATATAGTGGTTTTGGAGAAGTGTAAATGAGTGGGATTTTCTTGTCCTTTACCTTTACTGGGTTGAATCGAGATTGGGGTATACATTTGGAAGGCGAGGTGTAGATTTGTGTTGGCTGGATGTCCAAGCAACTCATTGTTCTTACACTAGAAGATGTTTGAGAATAAGAGATTGATGGTTTTTGATGATGGTCCCGTGAGTTCATTCATGTGCATGGATTGAGGTCCACGCGCTTTAGGCCCTCTTCCCAGAGTGGAGAAATTTTTGGGAGTTAAAATGCCAAGGGAGTATTGATTGGCACCAAACAAATTTTAAGTTGACATTTTCGTCGTGGTTAAGTGATTCATTGAACCACTAATCGCCTTCAAACATATTTCAATTAATGGAAAAGTTCTTACTCTCACTAAAGCATTAGTCTAAAATAAAAATAAAACCCATGAGGAAAGAAAAGTGAGATGTTATAGTAATTTTTAAATCTAAGTCTAAGCGTTTAAAAATATTAATTTTTATTGAAAAATATTTATTATTGTAAAAATATAAAAGTGTAATAAATTGTTATTTTTTATTTTACTTTTAAACATTTAAACTCATCTTATGTAATAAAATTTATTGATATTTTTTCTTATATTAAAAATGTTAACTTATTAACTCTTATTTACTATCATAGATTTATAATAAGTATGTAAAGTATTTAGTTAAGTAGAGATAAGGATGTAATTAAAAAGATAGTAGTTGATATTTTTTTAAAGTTTTAATTTTTTTTTCTTTGTGAAGCATTCAAAATCAATTTCTCGTTGTATAATTATCAATGTCATTCAATGTAGTCAATAAGTTACATCAAAAAGAAAATCTAAAATCACTATAATGATTAAGTGATAGTAAATTAAAAGATGATTTATTCTAGTTTATATGAAAAACTGAGAGTTCAGTTTCTGTGTAAACTAAAAAAATCTAGATTCGTAAATTAAATGTACACTATACATATTTATTAACTCAAACTTTAAAATTAAGTTTAAACATAGAGTAAAAGTAATAAATTTTTTTATTATATTAAATATATAAAATGTAATAAAATTTTGAATTTTTTGAAGATGTTGAAAGTAAGAAAATATAGACTTATCCATTGTTAAATTAAATTTAATTATATTTATAAAATTTAAAAATTAAATATGAATAGGTCTTCACTTTTAAATTTATATATCTTTATTTTAAAGGAGATAAATTTCTTAAACTTAATTTTAAGGACTAAGTTACTAAAATAATAATAAATAAATGGTTATTTTAACCTCAGTTTTTGAGGTTAATTTTAAACATTTAAAAATAGTAATCTTTTATTCAAAATTATTTTTCACAACAGATACAAAAATATATAAATATTTTTAATAAATTTACCATTATCAATTGTTTAAATTCAATTTAAAAAGTTGAAGTTAACTTTTTTTGTAAATAAAAAAAAAAATTCTAAATCTTACTTTTTATGCTTACAAATTTTTAACTACTAAATAAAAAAACTATTACAAAATGTTTTCTTTACGTTTTGAAGATAATAAGTACATATATTTTTTATTTAATATTTTATAAAAATAATAGAAAAATTATTAGTCAGATAAAATCTTATAAATTATTATACTGGTCTCAAACGAAAATAGCTTGTTTCTCAAAACAAGTTAGACTAGAAGCCGAAAAGCCATAGATTGCATGTTAGACTATGGATTGCCTACTACATTTTATTAAAAGCTTAAAATTTTTTAAAATATAAATTACTTCAAACTCACTCTTCACCAAAATTAATTTTATAAAATAAAGATTATCCAAAATCAGGTTTGCAAACACTTTAAAAGAAAATGATTATACACCAAAGCGGCAAAAACTCATTACATGCTACTTCAGTCTAAGTGATCATCATATCAAGGGACTTTCAATGTACAGTGATAACATTAGCGCTAGTAAGGAACTTTCAATGTCCTTGTGATCATAATAATTCTTTCAGCAACAATCTTTTGTCACTTTTACAAACACGTCTGAACCAAGACTAATTGAACTCCAGTTTTTAGTCTTCAGTGTAATCACTAGGGACAACTTACAAAAATCATACACGCTCTCTTCTTTCAAGCGTAGCCAGGAATTTCTCCTGGCATTGGAGCCAATTCATTCTTGCTAAATTTCTCCTCATCATAAAATGAGGCACGTACAACTCTACCCCCAAAGTACCGACCATCAAGGTCAATAAGCGCTTTAGTTGTTTCTTCGGATCTCTCAAACTGCACAAAGATTCTTACTGCTTCATCAACTGGGAAATTTGGCTCTGTTATCTCAAATATCAAAACTCTAGTTACTGTCCCATACTTAGCACATTCTGAACCTACCTCATCTTCCAGCTCATCATCTACTTCGCCAGGACCCACCTTCAACAAGAAAGCACACACAGTGAGAGTCACGTGTAAATTAATCAATTAAACTATGACACTAAATGCATTTTAAGATGAACTAAGGCAATCACTGTTGAGCTCTTCATGGCATAAATGAACAGACAAGGCATCAAATTATGCAGATATGAACCGGTGTGTACCCAAAATTAGCTTCATTTAGAGGAACATATACACTGTACATAAATAAGCACCAACTCTTTAGGGTCTGTTCTAGATACTGAGACGTACAATGGAAATTAATGTAAAAAGCTGCCATCATTGGCTAGAAAAGAAAAAAAAATTAATGTGCAGCTTTCCAAATTTTGAGATCCGAGAGCTCTTTGGCACAGATGGTTGCATAACAAGTTTTTGGTTTTGATTTTTGGGTGGGAAGAACTGTGTAGTTCTCCACTCTTCTTTCAAAGATATTTTTTTCTTCTGATCAAAATGTCAAACAAAAACATGTTCAAATGAATACTTCAATCTGAATTTTTGCTTTGTGATAAAACCTTGGCACTTGTAATGTGAAAAAGAGTAAACAAATGATGCAACCAATATGTTTCACCGCCCAGTGCCCAAACTGTTTACAAAAGACACAAACTATAAAGTGAGTCAGAAAATATTTTGTCAACCATTCCAATGCATGCACAAAATCAAAAGTGACTCGGGTATATATCAAGGTTATTACCATAAACTTTCCTAAAGAATGAAACAGAACTTTGCAACTATACAACGGCAACCTTCAATTACTTCAGAATATTATGACAGGAACCTCCCCTACCAGGTCCCATCTCAAAAACAATCTGTCTCTTGATATATTAAGCACTGCTAAGCTTAATGAACTTTCCCTCCATATACTCTATCTCTCTCATACTTAACCAAACACTGTTAAGCTTTACTCCATTACTCAAGTTTAGAATTCTTATCAATTAGACGTATATGATATATCATGCACAAGAAGAGTGCATTGAGGCACTAGCTCTTGGATGTGCCTAACATGTCAATATGCTAATCCCCTATTAAAATGTATACAGAGTCACAAGAGTAAATACAAGTCACAAGGCCCAGCCAACATAAGGAAAGGAACTAGAGAAATGTTTTGCTTTGATATTTTCAGAGATGACCAAGTTGGTATTGAACAACTATAATGACAATAATTCTAGCCTTTTCAATGTTCAGACCAAGCACCCAGGCAAGCTTTGATATCTATAGGTATTGAGGTGGCACAGTCTAGACATGGCATTTTTATGTCCCACAGGAAATATGCTTTAGCCATTTGATGAAATTGGCATGTATCAGTACAAGACCATCAATACATTATGGATCCTAATGTCAATCTTCATTTTGGACCGCCGGGGGGGGGAGGAATACCTGATCTAGAGTCTAGACATTGACAGAGATTGGTCAAAATATTTAATTATCTTGTGATAAATTGGATATCTTTTGCTGTAAGTGTGGTAACTGGTAAGTGGTTCCCTGATTTTTCATGTAACTCTTACTAGGATGTAGTTGTTTAAATACTTCTATACAGTAAAGGAACACCAGTTAAAAGGCTTAGACTATAAAGAAAAGGGACAACAGGGATACATCGTTACTGCTGATTGGGCAGGCTCTCGCTCAAAAAGAAGTTTTATGTGAGTTTGTGGTGCTCTCTTAGCGGGAAAATTAAGCTATCTTAGAATTGAAGCAAACTTTGATCGGTAGATCAAGTGCAGAAGCCAAAAATATTGAGCCATGGAAACTGCAACTTGTGAACTCAAGAAAGTTGCTCAAAGAATAGAAGATCTGTGAATCATGGATAATGAAGCTCACATTGACAATTTAGCAAATTTACATGTAGCCTCAACTATCGTCCTCCATGAAACAGATCAAGCATATTGAAACATATTGTCAGTTGTCACAATACATAAGGAAAAGAATATAGTCTAGTATACAAATAGTTACAAAATTAGTAAATTCTAATAACCAGCTCTTATATTCACTAATTCTCATGGAGATCACTGGATCAACAAGATATATCAAGTTTGGCAGATATGATGATATATATATATATGCACAACTTAAGGGAGAATGTTAGCATATCCTAGACATCTTTAGCATATCACATAAATATTGTAGAGTCAATTAGGAGTTATTAGTGTCGGTTAGCCCTTTAATTGAGGCAATTTTTTCCTTGTTATGTTTGGATGATATTTATAGTAATCTGTGCTGAGTGCGACATAGAATGATGGATGAACAATCAAGATACACAATTTTATCATATTATCTTTACTATCAAGTGTACCAACTGTTGTTGGTGTTGCATTTTCAAGTCAAATCTCAGAGACATCACCAATAAACAATGGTAGAATATTTAATATGAATCTTCACAATCAAACTGAAAGTGCATTCGTTCACTATTAAAAGTAAAACACAGTTTCTAACTGACAAAGCAGACTGATTGGCAAAAAACAAAAAACCTAACCTAATCAAACTAAAAAGTCTGACATTTCATTTTGACCACTCAAGTAAAATAAGCAGTTCATAGCTCATTGTATCATAACATAGGAACAAATTAATCAGCGCTATTTTAAAATCAAACCTCCACAACACGCAGAACAAAACCAACAACGTGACAAGCAACAATAAACGTGAAACTTTTATCAAACCTAAAGTTAATACAAGACAAGTTCATAAAAAATCCTTAAGCCCATCTCCAAAGCAATGCACACAAATCCAACCATTGAGAGAAATTTATCCACACATTGCATATACATTCATAATAAGATTCAGGAAATTTCAACTCTACTAATCAACCATCAATACCACTTGAACAAAACCACCATTTACTGCAAACAAATCAAAAACACATCAATAAACACACACACACACACACACACACATACCATGTTCCTAAGCAACAAAACCTTAGTAGGCACACCATTGAAGTTAACACTCTTCACTTTCTTATTATTATCACTAGCATTCACAATAACCCCAGCTCTTCTATCCGTTTTCTTTGCCATCAGCGGCGTAGTAATCCCTTGCTCCTGCTTCCCAAGCCCTTGCCCTTCCTTCCACCCCATCTTCGCCATCATTCTCTGCGCCGCAGTCATCTGTCCACCTGCCCCAACCCCCAACCCTCCTGTCTCCGACTTCCCAATGCTAAAACCATCCGAATTCCCCGGCGGTGATGGCGACCTCGGCACGGCCCCGGCCCCGGCCCCGGCCCCACCGCCACCCCCACCCCCACCCCCGCTCATCGCAGCACGCCTCCTCCACGCCTCCTCGCCGGAAATATTCAACCTCGAATCACCGCCAGCGTAATCTCTTTCCCTCTCTCTCTCCCTCTCCCTCTCCCTCTCTCGCTCCTCCTCCTCCTCCTCCTGTCGCCGCCGCTCCAATTCCCTCATCATCTCGGCCTCACGGGCCTTGCGCTTCCTCTCTCTCCGGTACTCTTCGTAATCATTGGGCCGGGCCGGGTCGTACTCTTCTAAGACCGTGGATTGGACCCCGACGAGAGCGGGTTGAACGACGTCGTCTGGTGCGGGTGTTGATGAGACAGAGAGAACGGTTTTGGGGAGCGAAGAAGGGTTAATTGTGGGTTTTGGTTTGGGTTGCGATCTGAGAAGGGTTTGGGGTGGGGCGAAGAGTGAAGCGGGTTTTCGGAGGGTTGCGGGTGCCATCTTTGTGCTTGAGGACCACACATTGGGGGTTGGTTTTTCTTCTTCTGCTGAAGAAGGAGGAGGTAGGTCACCGTATAGTCCACCCAACATTGGCAATTTGGAACCAATCCACTATGAGAGTGAAGGGATTCAATATGTGAGACTCAGTGCTCTTCGATTTGGGGTTAGGGTTTGCTTTGCTTTGGCTCTTTGCAGCTAACACCCACTGAGGTGGATGTCCTGTCTCAATGGGTTGATTCCCGATTGCACCCTTTCTTGTTGATGATCCTCGTACAGGGTTCGTTAGCTTTAGTAGTGTGTTTTGAAAATTTACAAAATATGCCTTTTATTCAACATGAATTAAGCTTTTGCCAAAATTCAAATAATTAGTTAAATGGTATCCATATAGTTTTAAAATGAAAAATGTTAAAAAGCAAAAAAATTAATTAATCATAATATTATTTTTTTATGTTACATATTTTGCGACATAATAAATATTATGTGATCGTATAAAATTTTTTAAATAGTCACATAATATAAATAGAATTAATATGTTTGATAAGTTATAATTAGAGGGAAAAAATTATAATTATTCAAAATATTTAACTTTCAACCATTAAAAAAAATATATTTTTCCCTGTGAATATGTTTTCTTTAAACACGAATCAATTTATATTTATGTTTTGTTTGATTTAGTGAAATAAGAGTGAGAAAAAAATATAAAAATAAGATAAAAGTGGTGTGTCTTTAGTTTTTACATAGTAAATTATTTAAAAATTTTAAAATCAAGAAGAAAACATAGAAACGCTATATTTTTTATTTAAAATTACTGTTAGAAATGATTATTTTTATATTATAAATAAAAGTACTTTGTTTAAAATGTGAGAGATTAATAAAGTTGCTTTCTTTCATAATTATTCTTTAAAATTAAAATTAAGTGAGAGTAATATGTAACCTATATTTTTCTTATGGCAAATAGTTTAATTTTTACTTTTTGAAAATAAAATATATTAATAAATATATATTTTGTATAAATTTCTAAAATTTACCATAAATATTAATTTTTTTATTTATAAAAAAGTATTACCTTATATTTCATAATTATAAAGTTAAATTAAAAATATAATTTTTAAATAGTTATGTTAAAAAAATTATTTATCATATACATATATATATATATATATAATTTTATTTTTTAATTAAATTTAGCTTTATATGATAAAGCAGTCAATCGTTGATACAATTTTTTTATAGCAGCAAATTTTGCATAAAGTACTTAACTACGTAGAAATATTAGTTTATATCCAAAAATTTTACTTTTCTTCACCATGGAATGGCACGACACTATTTAATATATAATTTCTTTAAATGCAAATAACTTAAAAAACAAATTTCTATTGATTTTTCTTCTCTCCCTTTTCCCTAGTTTTCTACATATCCAATGAGAATTATTTTCAGAATCCTATACCATAACAAAGAATTTATTTGAATTTATGAATATAAGCCTCAATGAGTCAATGTGAACAATGGAATTTCAAAAGTATTTTATCATAATTAAATAAAACTTCTTACAAATTCTACGTTAACATATTTCAAAAATAACACACATGATGACAATATTTCCATGTCATTCAGTAACTAACAGTTTCAAACATGGTTCCTACATCAAACCTTGCTGCCGTTCTAATCTATAACTAAAATGGTTCGACAAGCAAAAACACAAGTTATCAAACTACCATGGGTCATGTTCCTGAATTCCACGATCCGAAGGCAACGAGCAGACAATATACAGAGAGATCAAGTGGACCCATTATTTGATGGCTGGAGCTCCAGTTCTCGGAAAAATGTGCGGAGACAGCCGTTTATGATTCGAGGGGCCGCACCATCACAAAACCGTTTAGCAAGATCTACAGCCTTCAAAACAAATATATGCATTATAAGTTAGCAAGTTTTTTCTTGTGTGAATGAGTGTGAAAGATACCCCACAAGTAATTTACGGGGTAATGCAGTATGCTAGCTAAACCATGATACTAATACTAATAATAATTTCTTACCCTTTCCCCGCTAAAATATAACAAAAAAAACAAAAGTGCTTGCTACCATATCCTAAAACTTAAAAGAGTATTTTATGCCCTTTTTTCTCTATCTTAAAAACTAGAGGGTATTAACATCCTTTTTAACTAAACCATTTACCCTACAATTTATTAATATAAAATTAAATTAATGATTGTTCCACATGTAATAGAGAATATCAAACCCTCTAAATTAGAGAGGGTACAGTTTAAATGGACAGACAAGTAGGTTCGTACATTTGTAATCATGTTTGAGGACAAAGATATTTAAACAAAGAATTTTGTTATATAAACCACTAAAAATTGATATCATATGTGACATCATATATCATTAATTTTTATCTCTTTCTTACTTTTTATCTTCTTTATAAATACACATTCCAAAAGATACACTCCAATTACAAAGGGGACACCTTTATACACCCCAATCACAATTTACAAAGGAGACACCTAAAGTTATCCCCAACTAGTGAGTGGTACAGAGAACGTCTTTGTTGCACAAATTTAACCATTCAAAACCATTAAAAAAAAAAGGTTAAAGCACCAACGGGACATCATCCAATGGCTTGCAAGAGACTGTGAGAAGGTTGCAAATGTTTGTGCAAATATCATTTATTCAGTCCCTAAATAACTAGTTGAGTACTCTAGTTACACAAATCTGGTGTTGAATTTGTTTTGGGTTGCATTAAATATTTTAATATTGTAACAACATATGTTGTGTCAGGTTGCTGCTGGTGGATTGTTTATGTTTTGGCCAGTGATTATTAGTTTTGGGGATGTTGAAAATACGGAGAAAACATTGCTGATATTTGATCAACCCAAACGTACATTTTGAAATAGGTTTCTTAAAATATATTTTGGTGATAGATAAGCTAGATTAAAAAGTGTTTGGTTAACTTAGCTTTTATGTTAATGATGGCTCATGTTTGAGTTGTGACAGTTTGTTTGAATTCTTCTCAATATCATTGAATAGAATGAAGTCTATTTGCTTGCAATAGACATTTTCATGACATGTTTGAACGTGGGGTTGGGGTGGAAAATCTAAAACAAATACAACTTCGAAAAGTATGTTTTATAGATTATAGGCATTCGCTATTTTCATTAAAAGTATGATTCAATACTTCCCTCAATTATCTTGTTTAAAAACCAATAGACCTCAATGATGAACAAGGCACATATAGAGGGTAATAAATAAATTTTTAATATTTAAATAAAATGGTGGTCCCCCATACCCTAAAAAAGGGGTAAAAAAGGCAACCATTACAGAAAATTAAGATGTACCTCATTAATAACGATTTGGTGCCTTGTTTCCAACACTGCCATTTCAGACATTGCCAAGTGAAGAATAGAAAGCTCTAAAATCTTCCCTGCTGGTTCATTCTGAAATGTATCAATAGACAAGATGCAAATTACTATGAGCAATAGCAAACTTAGGCTAAAAATTAGTGTATATATATATATATATGCATGGAATACTACAGAAGAAACAAATAGTTAAAAGCCAGAAAATGGATAGATATTAGAAGAAGATAACTTGGAATTATATATGACTTAAAGTCTTAAACAGAAGAATATATCTTCTATATGCAATCCATGCTAACAACAAACATGACAATGACAGATAAAGATAATCAGAGATAGCATGGGACAAATAAGATTAAGCTTTGACTTTATCTACATAACAAATGAGTACAAAAGCTACTATGTATATCAATTACAATACCTTCCAATTTGGTGGGACAACTTTGTTAATAACTTGGACATGACTATCCCATCTATCTCTGACTGCAACCAATAGTTTTCTAGTGAATCTGCAGATAAAGCATGATACTAGATCATTATCTTCTCACACAAACTTTCACACAGTGACACACACACACACAAAAGAGCACTCGATCTTGCAGTGTCCGGGGAAGTAGAAAAGGAGGAGGAGGAAAGGTGCACAAAATAACAAACTTTAGCTACCAGCATAAGTTAGATATACAGGTTATATTATTATATTTACCTCAAAATCAGTTTGTTATATACCATCTTCGGAGGGGCGGTAAGGACTTCAGCTTCTGGCATGCAGAAGATAACATATTATAACAGTGTAGAGATGGAAGCAACAACAGGCACTTGAAAACTGAACAGATAACAAATACTTCACAACCAAGTTAAAGATTTCTCTTGGCATAGATGGACAACATACAGACTTCTGCAGTAGGCTGTGCCAAATGTACAATACCTAAGATGTAATACTGTAACTGTAAAAGTTCTCACCAATAATGTCTGCTGCCTGAACTAAAAGTTAGTAAAATACATGTCATAAATATGAAGCAATCTAACCCCAAAAAAAAATTCACAGAGCTTAAGTGTCCATATTATGACTTGCACGGGGTTTTACAATTTAATCACAACATAAACTCTTGTCTAACATATCCCTAACATAAAGGAGTAAGGCCAACTTACAGTATCAGAATACTTGACCTAGCTGCAGAGACAATCAAGGTAAAACTCATACATTTACATTCTCATAACCACTAAAGTAAAGTGTTTGATGTTGTGTTCCTATGTTTTACAGATATGAGCATGGCATCATGCTACAAAATATAAGCTTAAATTATCATGGAAAGCCAACAATGTTTTTCACTGATGTTTACTTTCAATCCTAGAGAAACACCAAATAAATAACTGATTGGCTTTCATTTTCGAAGACTGATTAAATTGCAATTTGACCAGCAAATAAAATTGACCTATCATAGTAACATTAAGTGTGCGTTTGGTTCAGCTAATTTTGGACAACTAATTCTTTACATTTGTAATAAGCGATAGAAAAAAAGAAAAAAAAAAAAAAAAAGCTAAACCAAACATGAATAAATCCAGTTTAACTATCGTGATTATATTTTCCTCTTTTCTAAATGGGGAAAAAGCTTAAATATAAGAAAAGCAAAGACACATTGTGAACTTTCTACCACACTTCAAGCATCTTCAACAATTCATTTTATAAAAAAAAACAGCAAGGGTTCTCTCGATCTATTATTATATGTTACCAATGGCAGACTCTTTTTCAATGCTCTTTAGAAGTTCATTCGCTTCTTCATCCGATTCAACAGTAACAGGCGGCCCTCCAAAACTCATATGATTATACTCCAACAATTTTTCCTTGTCAAATTCATACCCATCTTCTGAAACAGAAACAACCGCATCCAATATTCCAATTCAACACAACATAACATACGCTTTAAGTAACCACAATTCAAAGCATAGGCGAACCACTACCTCGCCGCTCATTCATCCGTTTCTCAAAAAGCCGTACAGGGTCCAACCCTTCTAAACACGCGGCATAAATTATGGACCTGCATAAAACAATTCTTAGTTTATTGTAATAACTAGCTTCACATTCGAGCTACGTAACGTAATGTGTAAAGAGTGGAATGAAGAGGTTACAGTGCAAGTTCTCTGGCGGCTCTGGGACTGCAAAAGCGTCCGGTTTTATCGATTTTAGGAAAAGAGGGTAAAGAGTTATCGGTTTTTCCTAAAACGGGAGTTTCGTGTTGGGCGAGTGCGAAGGTGGAACTGCGGAGAGAGTTACGAGGGGAGAACGCTGCGTTTTGGGGGAAGGAACGAATGTTTAGTAGTGAAGAAGGGAAAGAAGAGCGTTGGGGAACTGTGATTTTGGGTTTAGAAGGAATTGCACAAGATGAAGGGGAACACAGAGGAAGCCTAGCTCCCTCCATTGCAGCAGAAGATAATAATTGCATTGCAAATATCTGCCACACTCTTAGCTTGTGTAAATACCATTTTTTTAATGTTCTACTTATATTTCAGTTGCCTGAAAATGTATAAAATTAATTGATTGAATTAAAATTATTTTGTAAAATTGAATTGAAATATATTAATCGTTCGTTTAATGTACGTATATAATAAGAAAATATATTTTTTTTTTATGAAGTATCACATTGTATTATAAAAATTAGTATATTAATAATGTTTATGTTATTTTTTATTAAAAAATTATTTTTATGCTGCCTTTGAATGAAATATAATATGTATAAAAGGAAATAAGTAAAAAAAAAAATATATGATAAGAAACAAAATGAATATATCGATAATGAGATAAAAAAAAATGTGTTATTTAGATTGGTATAAATAATAAAGAAAATAAAAAAAATGTTTTACTTGTATAGGTGAATGAAAAAGAGAATAAAAATTAGTTTATATGACAAATATTTTTATTATGATAATTTATTTTAATAAAAATTTAAAAAGTATAATATACTATATTTTCTTAATTATGTAATTTTTTAATTGTTTTAAAAATATACCTTCAATAAAATATAAAATAATTAAAAATCTCACAACCTTTCTCATGCAAAATTTCACTATTTAATGTAAGAAAAATTTACAGTGACCTCCATAAAAATACCATTTTTTGTTCATACAAAACATTCAAATAATAAAGACTTTCTTTTCTCACGCTTTTTCGTCGTCACATAATTTATTTTTACCAAAACAAACAAAGTATTAATAATTTATTATGATATATCAAAACGTTAGAAAATTGACATACCAAATGTCTAAAAATATATTAAAAAATATATTTCAATAAATTGAACATTATTTGAGTAATTTTTTATAAATTAAAATTTAAGAGCTATGAAACTCTTGTTAATTTTTATTTATCAAACAATCGTATAAGCTTTTTAAAAAAAAACAAACTACAAATTATAAGCTTACATTACTAAATTCACTCAATAAAATTATAATAAATAATAATTTGATTAGCATTATAATATTTAATGTTATTAATACATCAAATTTTATAGATTTTTCACAAATATAATATTAAAAATACTGACAGATGTAATAAAAATAGTTTAATTTTGATACATTACAACTACAAACAAATTTATATTATTAATTAATTAAAATTTATCATAAATATGAATTTAAATAACTTATTATCAAAATTAATATTTTTATGATGTGATAATTTATAATTAAATAAAAATATAAAAAATACACTACCAATATTTTTCAAGAATATATATATATATATGTGTGTGTGTGTGTGACCCCTGTATTATCCAAATAATATTTTATATAAATTTTTTAAAATATATTATTTATAGAAAAATATTAAAAAATTGAGTTGCTTAAGTTTCAATTAATAAATTTGTTTATGGATATTAAATTTTGAAAAATTTATTAAATATGACTAAAATTAAGAAGAATTTCATGTTAACTTTTTAAATATTAGATAGGATTTTTTATTAAATCAATTTCAATAATGTTTTTGTTTATAATAAGTTTTTACAATAAGTATCTGTTGCATTTATTTTATAATAGTATATACAATTATAAATATTATTTAACATAAAATTTTGTAAAAGAAGTAACCATTATCTAATGCATAGTTATTATGATTATTAATGTCAACCTTACTATTTTCTTACTGTCTAAAATAGAAATTATGTTGATAAAGTAAATATATAAATTATTTCTTATTGATCAAATAGCGATAATTTAGACGACATTCAAATTAATTATGATTTTTTAATATCATAAATCAGATAAATTTAATATAAGATCCAATAATCAATGAATTCTTGTTAATTCATTTATACAATATATATTCTTATAGTAAATATTTATCAAATAAATATATAACCGATTTAGTAAATAAAATTTAAATATGATTAAGTAATATTTAAACATTTTGTTATGTCTTAAAAAAATTTAAACATTACATTCAATGCATATTGTGATAAATTATCATTTTAATCTAAACTCAAGATTTTTAATTGTTGTTTTTTACTTTTAAAATAATAATATATAATTAATTAAGTTGTTTTATTAAATTAATTTTGATAATTTTTTATAGTAAGCATTTACAATTATTAAGTATTATATTTATGTAATAACAGTGGACACAAATATAAATTTTTTTAATATGAACTTTTATTATAAACTTATGATAATTAAAAATAATAAAAATTATTATGATTATTAATGTTATTTTATGCAAATCCTTATTGTTAGCACTGAATTAAGTATAATGAGGACGATATTTAAATAAGGAGAATTCAATATATATTACAAATCCTGTACATTTGATAATTAAGCCAATAATCAATGAAATATCATTAATTTTACATAAAATATATATTTATATAAATAAGATTCTTTGTCAAATAAATATATAATAAACTTAGTAAATAAAATTTAAATAAAGTGAAGTAATTTTTAAACCCTTTCTTATATCTTCTTAAAACTTTTTTTTAAAACTACATTTGATTGTAAATTGAAATTTTTTTTACATTTAAAATTAATATTTTTAATTCTTTTTTTTTTTTTTTTAGAACAATATATAATTGACTATGAGAGAACATTAGCCTTGATAAGTAAAGACCAACATTAAAAAGGGTCTGTTCTTTAACTCTTATTGATAATCATTGCAAAATAAAGAGTTAAAAAAAATTATCTTCTTTAAAAATTTAAAAGATAATCTTGAATATGAAAGAACTATATTTATTTTTGGAATAAATATGTTTTCACCAATCTTTTTCTTATAACAATTGTAGATGCAATTACATTTTTTTTCAATTGATTAATAATTGGTCTAGTTCCATTACATAATATATATTTCTCAAAAGCATGAATAGAACACATATCTTCTAAATTAATCTATAGTTTAAAATTTCTAAATACAATTTTATTAAAAAAATTTAGTTGTAAACCAATCACCTTACAATTCAACATTTTCTTCAACATTTTCATTAGAATAGCAAGTTGAATTATAGCTTACGTGTTGTCTTTCTTCTCTAAACATCAAATATAGAATGAATTTATTTACTTTTTTAACATTAAAGTAGGCATTAAATATTACCCTTTGATCAAAGAAATTAAAATCAACACAATTTTCTACTAAATTTGGTAGGGATGGTAATGGGTAGGGTATGAGTAGGGTACTATAATACCCATCCTCATACCCGCGTTTTAAAAAAATACTCATACTCAATCTCATACTCACGTGGGTATGAACATTAATTCTCGTACCTGTATTCTCTGGGTACCCGCATATCCATCTTGTACCAATTACTCACGCTTGTTTGAGGAAAAAATATTTATAAAGAAAAATATATTTATATAACTTCACATAAGTAGCATAATAATACAAAAATTCAATATGTAGTTGTCAAACAAGGTACAAACATAGATAAAAAATAAATATTCAAATATCATAAATGTTAAATGTATCTTAATATAATAATTTTCTAAACTAAAATTTTTAGAAAGAATAAGTGAAACTAAACACACAAGTTATTTGTCAGTAATAACCTTATCTTGTGTGAGATTTGATCGATTGACAATGTCAGAGCGACAACGAAATAGATTTGCACAATGGTTGTCTCTTTGTGTGGGATCACTTAGTGACATCTTGTTACGACATTGATAACTAATTCTAATGAATAACGTTTTATAGTTGTTAGATTTTAATGAGATAAACATTGAGAATGAGAATAAAGTTAAAGTAGAAAAGTTCAATACTAACAACAGAAAGTAGATATATAAAATATATTTTTTAACTTTTGAATTTGAAATTGTAAGAAAAATAATATATTTAATTAAAATAATATAATATAATTAATATATATATATATATATATATTAATACTAATATTTTTAACTCATATATTATACGAAAGTATTTTATCCAAAATACAAATTTTTGAAAAATTATTTTAATGAATTAAATATTTATAATGTATATAAATTTTAAAAGAAAGAATTTGAATAAAAGATAAATGATTACAATAAAATTTTATAATAAAGAAATATACGTGTATATTAAAAAAAAATACTATTTTATCTGAAAAAATTAACAAATAAAAATTAACAATAATTTTATATTTATATCTTTTCAAAAAATTCTTTAAACATGAATAAATAGTAAAAATAATATTATTTAGATTCAATAGATTATAGTTGTACTTGTAATACATATGTTACATATAAAAATATTATTTTAAATTAAAATATAAAAAATAAAATTTAAATATTATTAATAAATAATAAGTTTACGGTAATAGTAGGTGATTATAAAATTTATATAATATTTACAATATATTTATTATTTATCGTTCACTTTGTGATTTAAACATCAATATGATTTTATTAACAAAAATATTTGTGTGAAAAATATTTTATGTGTGTCATATATAAATAATATTTTAAAAAAAGTCAATTTCATATTAACTATGTAATAATTAAATTATATTAGCCTAATTAAATGATATAAAATAGTAAATAAATTTTTCTATTAAAAATATAAACTAAAATAATTTTTTTGGTTTACTTTATTATTAAATATATTTTTATATTAATCTTATATAACTTCACATAAGTAATATAATAATACAAAAATTCAATGCATAAGTGTAGAATAAAGTTCAAGCATATATATATAGGTAAATACACACTCATCCCATTAAATTTTGCGAGTTTTTACACACACTCATACCTGTACCCATATAACGGGTAAATACCTTACTCATTATAGGTAAAATTTACGGGTGCCTATCGGGTACTTTACCCATTGTCATCCCTGAATTTGGATATACAAAATCAACTAAATGCATACTACTATTATTTGTTTCAAGAATGAGAAATTCATCTAGAATTTTAAGTATACAAATATCATCGTCATTAACTCTAATTTTTCCATTTCTAATTTAAAGAATCCATCAGTCTCATTTATATTAGATGTGTTTTTGTCAACTTTAGTATTTTGCAATCAAACTATAGGTAAGAAGAGTTCACAATTGCTAAAAAGACATATTTAAGACTACCTTTTGAAATGACCAGAAGAATTTGTTTGAAATTTCTTCCCAATACGACAACTCTTCCACCAAAAGGTTCATTTTTACTATTTAAATTTTTTACTCTTATTAAATCTCTTAATATATGATCTAGAATTTCGAAAACAAAAATTATTAAGCGTATGATTAAACTTATGTTGATTAGTATATCAACTTTTAAACTACATTGCTTGATGTTATATGTGGAAGTATCATCATTTACAAATGAAATTTAAAATCTTGCATAAGTTGTTCTTTCTCTAAGAAAGAGTAAAGAAGAAATATCACTTAAAGTCATATTTAAAATAATCTTTCTTTTATATTGAAGAGTTACTAATAAAATATTCTAAATGTATTTTTTTTTTCTTGTTATCCATATATATATATATATATAAACTACCAAATTGATTTAATACTAAGGTCAAAATTTTATGGTAAACAATTTACTACTTAAATGTTAAAGAAGCTATAAATTTGCTATGTTTTTCATCCTCTTCAGTTGTATTATAATTAAACTTAATTACTATAAATTTATTTTTAAAGAAACTAAAAATCAAATCTTATGGAATTGACGTACAAGTATATTTTTTGAGAGATATTTTATTGATTTAAATTAATTTTTTAAGCTCTATCAAATAAAGATTCTTCAAATCTTAGTCATTTAAAGAAAAATTTGTGTATATTAACAAATTGCATATGACTTAAATATCCAACTAAATCTATTTACTTAGATTCTTATTTTTCTTCCTACACTGAAAATGAATGTCATCATATGTTTGCTTTCACATATAATATAGTTTGCTCATACTATTAAACATGTGTAATATCACAAATAGTTCTCATAGTTGATGTCTTGAACAAATTTTATTTGCTTCCTTTATTCTATTAACAAATTCTTTATCATTATATATAAGTTTCAATGAGTAGCATGCTTCTTCAAAATTGTTAAATGTAACTTCATATAATAGTTCTTATTCTCTTCTAATCAGAACAATTATGTTGCATTGTTAACAATAAATACAATTAGTACAACTCTTTTATTCTTGAAGAGATATAATAAAGCTTGTCAATTATGAAATCTTACTTCTTTTTTTTTTGTTGTCATTTAGAGTTTTTCCTATTAATTAAGTATAATTTTCTTATACTTAATTTTTTATTAAATAAAATCAATTAATTAATAATGTTAATCAATATTAATTTTATTAAGTTATCAAGCAATATAAAATAATTTAATATTTTAAAAAACTCAATTTTATATATTTTTAATTTTTTTAATTTTTATCAACAAGTAGACTTCTAAATTCAGAATATATATTACATTATTATTAAGTTTTATTTACAAAAATTTTGTTTAATAATTTTATTTATATATAAATAATTTAATATATTTTTATTTTTAGATATTAACATATAGTTTTATATATATTAATTTTGAAATCAGATTTTTAAAACTTCATATATTAGTTAATAAATATAATTTTATTTTTGTATATATTAGTTTGATGAGTTATTTTTAAAAAATATAATATCATCCTTTAATAATTATATAGTAAAATTTTATTAATAATTTTAAATTATAATTATAAATAAATAATTTATCATATATATTTAGTTCAACAAATATAAATAAATGCATAAGTAAAAAACTATAAAGTCTTTTATTCAGATATTATAATTTATATTAAAAAATTGTTATATTTAATAATTTATTGTTATAATTTTTTTTAAATTTTATAATAATGAATAGTTTATGATATTATGAAATAATATAAATTTTATTTTTATATTTTAAAAATAAGATATTTTATGCTATTTAAAATTAATTTATTAATTATTTTATAAATTATTTTTTTAGTCTATTAAACATTTTAATTTGATCTAATTAATTCTCAAACAATAAAATAAAATAAAATATAGTTTATAAATAAAAAATATTGTATTAATTGCTTATCAATACACTAGATTAATTAAAATAAATTTTTTTATAATTTTTCTAATCTATTAACTTTCATTGTTATGATTTTTTTTAAAGCAACTCTAAAAGAATACTTTGTTAACATATTTTTAATTGTTATTGAATTTTTTTAAAATAAAAAATTATGAATAAAACTTATTAAATAAAGAGTAAAATTTATATAATTTTATGATTTTAAAAATTATTTTATAAGAAAAATATATTAAAAGGCATATATTATATTTTTTATACACCAAAAAAAATAAAAAATGTATGTTATAACAGGTTCTTACAATTTCACAAGTGTTCTTACCTGATAACAAGTTTTAAAAAATATTAATAATTATTCCTGAAATACTGATTAAACAACTTATAAAAAAAAGAGAGTAAGAAACGTATTTATTTCAATTTTCACACATTTTAATCATTACTTTAAATTATTATTAATTATTTAACATGAATATTAACACACTGATTTGCCAGAGTCAATTTTATGACATTAAAATTTTCCTGAAAAAGTAGTTCGGATTCGTAGGAGCGTCTTGAGAAAACAGTGGTTCTGGAATCTCATTTCACTTGTCACGAGACAGTAGCAGCCGCTAGTCGGAACGGCAAGGTCGCTCTCTCCTTTGGTGCACTCATTCCGATTACACATGTGCAACTTTCAATTACATAGCACTGCCATGTAACACTTGAAACAAACTCACCTTGATCTAATTATTATTTTCAATTTTCAATTGTCAGAACATGAAGCCTGGAGTACCAATGACCCTCATTGCTCTGCTACTGCTGTTATTCGCTCCATTTTCCTCTTCTTCAAAACCCAAAGACCCGTTCCTCGGAATCGCTCCCCAAGGTTCGTTCACTTTGCTTCACACAACACTTTTATCATTGTAATTTTTAATTTTTTTATTTATATTTTGACATTCTTATGGTTCTTTATTTTTCGATTAAAGAAATGTGTGTTACGCGTTCTATCAGATGAGAAGTATTACAAGTCTTCCGATGTAATAAAATGTAAAGATGGATCAGGAAAATTCAACAAGGCCCAGCTCAATGATGATTTTTGCGATTGCTCTGATGGCACCGATGAGCCTGGTTTTTATTTATTTGTTTTTATTTTAATTGATTTATTTTATTTGTTTCATATTGTATAATTTGCTATTCCTAAAACTCGTTGGTTTATTCTTTTTTCTTCCTTTATTTTTGGGTGCAGGTACATCGGCATGTCCGGGTGGAAAATTTTTTTGCAGGAACGCAGGACATGTTGCTGTTCACCTGTTTTCATCTAGAGTGAATGATGGAATTTGTGGTGAGCGGATGTGTGTATATATATATATATATATTTTAATTTTAGTAATTGTATGGTGTAGTTCCTATTATATGTTTAGACTTGGTGCTTAGGCCGAATAATTGAAATGAGGAAGGAGGATAAGAAATTGAGATACATATGTATGAATGTGATCCTATTTGTACAGATTTAGAAGGATGTCCTAACTCCGACACTGATTATTCATTTGTTGATTACTACACAGGTTCCTTTTGATATTTACACTTAATACTTTTGGATCTGGTGCATGTGTTTTGAACTTGGGAATACTTTCATTTTATCTTGTTATTCTTGCTGGTATTATTCGATTCTTTTATAATATAGATATATGGCATGATGATTGGAGATGCTGGGGGAGTAAAGCTGGCGCTTGATCTAGAAGCAAATTATTTGGATATTATCATTACAGTTGTTGTTATATATATTTATATACTCAATATAATTTTAACCACATTTAGAATTTCCATAACTTTCGGGTTCTGTTACTGTGTAACAAGTTTGATGAGTATGGAGAATGCATCTTATGTTTTGATCCATCACTAACATTGTGCATTTACACATCACTTCTAAAAGTGTTGTCCTTTTTCTTTTATAAAGTTAAAAGTATTGTTTTCTAATACATTACTAGTCTGTTGTTTAGTTTATCTGTACATTCTTGATTCATTAGCTCTGAAGTAATTTGTTTTACTTTCCTGTCATAATTTGTAGATTGCTGTGATGGAACTGATGAATATGATGGTCAAGTAAAGTGTTCAAATACCTGCTGGGAGGCTGGGAAAGTAGCTCGAGATAAGCTGAAAAATAAGATTGCCACTTATCAAGAGGGCGTCAAATTGCGAAAGCAAGAAATTGAACTAGCTAAATTAGCTTTGGAGAAGGATGAAGCAGAACTTTCAAAATTAGCAAGGGAAGAAAGTGTACTTAAAGGGATTGTGAAACAGCTAAAGGGTATCACCTTTTGTTTATTTCCCATTCTTGTGAACACTTTATTCAATATATGTAAACTACATGCACCTTTGGTTAAAGGATGTCAACCATAAAAATAAAGATCTTCTATGCAAAGACAAAATGGAAAGATAATGCACCAAATGTACTTGCTACTAATGTAAACATACTATATATACTGTACTAGTTTATTTTCCATTTGTAGGAGGATCAAATGAATGTATGGAGAAATCTGGTTAGGGATACAGGAATGCATTTATTGTTATATTCAGTTTGAAGTGTTAGAGGCCTATTGGTTTAGCAGAAAAACCTTTTTAATGTATAAATTGAGTATGACTGAGCAAGTGTGTTAGAAATTCTGAGCCAACTGTTAGTTTAATTATGCATATGACCACATCCAGCTGCTTTCGATTGACAAGCGACTTGTAGGAAGTTGAAGATTCTGGTTTTGGCAATTTCCAAGCTGTATAATTGAGGAGGGGACAGCATTTTAAATGTTTTGAGGAAGTAAATGTGATGAAACATGTTTTACTGTTAAGTTTACAGATTTCGTGCTAGATTGTATAGGATATGGAATTTTGATCAGGGAAAAAATGAGTGTGCACTTTTTAATTTTGAAAAATTTTCATTTATATAGCAAATTTCTTTCCTATTAATGGAATACTTGCTTTGACACATTCCTTTTGCCTCCATTGCAGAACATAAAGAACAAATAGAGAAGGTTGAGGAGAAGGAACGTTTACAGAAAGAAAAAGAAGAGAAGCAGAAAAAGGAATCTGAGAAGGCTAATGAAGAAAAAAATAAAGACAATGAAGAAGAAATAGGACATATAAATGAAGCTGGACAGCATTCAGCTGTTGAAGACGATCCTATGGCAAGTAACTATGATAAAATAGAAAATGTAGAGGGTTCTCCTGCAGATCAGGTTTGATTGTATTTTCCATTTAGGTTGCAGAACTTGACTGTACAATCAGAGTGTGCCATACTGAATAATCTTATTCAAACTTTTGAATGCATTAATCTGGTATTTAATTGTCAATGTGAGGTGACACTAAGTATATATGATTTTCCTGATCATTCATTAACCCTAAAACATCCTTAGGTTAGTTATGCTATGACCAAAAAAGGTAATACTTTTTCATGTTTCTTGATGCAATGAATTGCCCTATCTCTAAAGGATAAAACTAAGGTGCAGTATCATAGGTACTATTGGTGTTGTTCTCCAATCAGAATTTGGAGTTTCACCTCGGTAATGTGTCTCAAATTTTAATGTTTCTGTGCTAACTTTTAATGCTGACCTCTTTTATGTAGATTATCAAGGTGAAACTCCAATTCTAATTGGAGAACAACACCAACAGTACCTATGGTACCCTTTAAATAGCTTGCAAATATTTTGTTATTAGTAGAACATGTAATTTTGTTACTATTTATCTGTTTACCTCTACATGCAACACCTAAGTGGTTTAATTCTTCCACTTAAACATTCAAAGCTTTTTTACAGGATGAAGCAGGGGACAAATTAGCAGATGTACTTGATAATGATGATGGAGCCAGTGACAGTTCTGAAAGTGAAGGGTCTTTGCTTAATAAAGTGGAAGAGGTGAATAAAAAATTTGCAATTTTGTTTTTCTTCTGAATTTTTATTTGTTGAAATGGAAATTCCTGCCTAAACTGGCAACAACTAAATGGTTTAATTCTTCAACTTAAACATTTAAAGCTTTTTCACAGGATGAAGCAGGGGACAAATTAGCAGATGTACTTGATAAAGATGATGGAGCCAGAGACAGTTCTGACAGTGAAGGATCTTTGATTAAAAAAGTGGAAGAGGTGAATAAAAATTTTGCAAATTTGTTTTTCTTCTGAGTTTTTATTTATTGAAATGGCAATTCCTGCCATACAAATTAGATTTAAAACTTGCTGATGCCCCCCACCCCCACCCCCACCCCCACTACTCCCCAATGTAGAATGCAAAAGAAGCTGAGGGAGAACCCAATGTTAATTCTGAAACTGATTCTAAGGTTGGAAACAAAGAGTCTAATGATGAAATCATCAATACAGTATTTCTGCAGTCCATACTCTCAATCTCTCATAGATGATGGAGTTAACTCTTATTTTTTATTCCTCTCATATTTAATATTTCAATGGATGCGTACTGCATCATTCACTTTCTTGATATGATTAGCTCATAAACATGTATTGCTAGATTCTTCCATTCTTGTTGGTTATTGTCTTGTAACTTTGCCTAAAAAGTCATTGTTCTATGACAGTTTATAGCAACTGCTACATCTCATGAAAAAGAATTAAAGTGAGACACAGTGAATTGTCTAGAACAAAGTTATTTTACTGCCAAAACAGTTGCACTTACTTATTTGGGTCGTAATTTTTTACTGATAATTAAAATATCAAGATTGCAGAATATTTCTGGTGGCAAGTTCTTTCACTGTGATACAAACTGGACCAGAAGAAAAAAAATAGAAAGGAGCTTTATTGAAGAAAAGAAAATATGAATTGATATTTGCCCAGGGAATTTGAGAGTCCTGGTCTCTCCGCACACAATGATCTGACTAATTTTCCTCCTCTTCCCCCAACTCTTTTCTCTTTATACATTTATTATGCCAACTTGTTATAACAGAATATTTCTGTTGTACAGTTACAAGACCTCGGGGGTCTGATCCCTTATCGCCCCTCTATGCCTAGGATAGACCCTTTTAATGGGGGTTTCCTTACACACTGCCTTTGTTTTCAGTTCATAGATTCGAATGCAAGGGAACACTAGGAATTTTGTTTCAGATCTAAACATATTGTAAATTAAAGATGAAAATGAAAATTTGAGATTTGAAACAACACTCCTCTTGAGATGATTCTAATCCTGATTTCACACATGGATATTGTTGAAATTATAGGATTTTAGGTATAATGCACTTCTGAAATAATATATTCATTTTATCACATGATAAAATTCATTTAGTATTCATGGGGGTGGTAGTGACTAGAAGTTGCACTAAATTAAGATTAGCCTAGGAAATAGTCTTCAGACTCTTCATAAAGTCTATTAAAAGACTTGATGTGGATGATATGCAAAACCTATGTACTACACAGTACACACTTTACTGGAGAAGTGGCTGGTTAATTCTTTAAGTTCTCTCTACTGCTGTTTCCTCACCCTGTTTTCCAGCATTCTGAAACACAAAGTCTGGCCATTCTCTCTCTCCCAAGTTTTTTCTTTGTTAGTGTTTTTTTTTATTCAATTGTTTATTTATTTATTTGTCTCCTCTGCTGTGACATCTCTGGTTTCTATTCTCTTACTCTGCTATGTTGTCTCCTCCTTTCAATGCCACAAGTTAGCATGATCCCACCCAATCTTGCCAATTGGAGTTCAGAAGGGTGCATAGAATGCTTCAGCTATCAAATGATATTTTGACAACATTGATTGTTAACATTCTCTCTCTTTCTTCCTTCTCTTTAGTCAAATCCTATTGTTTTAAGTTTTAACAGTATCAATAAATTAGAGGTGGAAGTCATAATGTCATTTGGTAGTATATTTGGAACTTACTACCTTTGTTGAGATCCCTATCAATGGCACGTGAAATTGTTTGGCATATAACATCAACCACTAAAGTAAAGCAATAATGGGAATAAAGGGTACTTTTGCCTAACTTCCCACTTCTTAGGTAACTAGTTTAGCTTTTCATATACCATCACATAAAAACTTGAAGGTTAGAGATAGTCAGCAAGCCACCTCTATGTTGCACGTAAAGACCTCTCTAGTTTTATATTGATAACTTTATCTGAGCTACCATGACTCATCCAATCATGGGCTGTCTCAAAATCAAACTTAATAACTGAATCCCATTTTTGTTGTCTTTGAACATCTTAAACCACCTCATTCACTATTTGAGCTTATGAACCATGTTCTACAAGTGATTTTGCATCAAGACAACTGTGATGGCTAGAGTTCATGGCTTCTCTTGCATTTAACAATCCTAGCTTTTAGTGTCATTGCACTTATTTGTAGTCATTAGCATCAAATACAATCGCTATTTCCCAACAATCTTCTGCATATTTTTTGCCCTATAGTCTTCAGTTTTTACTGTATTTCCTGCTCTGGTATATTGCTTAGTTATGGGTGAAATTTTAATTCAGAAATATCTTAAAGCTGTGCAATTTTCTTCCGCTTGTCTTTTCTGCTTCTTATTCTCGTTCTTGGTATATCTGTAGGGGAATGACGTATCTGAAAATACTGAGGGATTATCAAGGGAAGAGTTGGGCCGGCTTGTTGCTTCTCGTTGGACAGGAGAAAATGTTGATAAGCAAAGTGCTGAAGCTGATACTACATTAGACAATGAAGATCATGAAGATCTTCCTAAGGGTACAGATAATGAGGAATATGAAGGCTATGCTTCTGAAACTGATGATGAAAGTCACAAATATGATGATGACAGCCATAAATACGATGATAAATATGATGATGAAGATGAAATTGATGAAGAATATCGAGAGGATGAGCATGAAGACCTTAGTTCCTCGTACAAATCTGATTTGGATACTGAACCAGACTTGTCAGGTTTGTTATTGATATTACATAATCTGTATCTAAGTTTGGTATATAGACGGGAGTTGTGATGAGATAACTTAACTGAGCTTGAATGGTACCACAACAGAAAATCCTTCTTGGTTAGAGAAAATACAGAAAACTGTACGGAATATTTTTCAAGCTGTTAATTTATTCCAGGCTCCAGTGAACCAATCAGGTAAACATTTAATACTTTATTACCGGTATTTTATATCCATGTAGATATAATTTAAGTCTTTCTCTTTGGATTCTTTAGATGCTGCTCGCGTACGCAAGGAATATGATGAATCAAGTACCAAGTTGTCTAAAATACAGTCTAGAATATCAAGTCTGAAACAAAAGCTAAAACATGATTTTGGTTAGTATGATGTTGGTAACATTTGTCACTATCATGGCATGAGTAATAGAGGTTTGAGTTATGGAATTGGCTTGAATATAAACTGAAGTAGAATTCAAATATTACAGGTCCAGCGAAGGAGTTTTATTCATTCTATGATCATTGCTTTGAGAGCAAGCAGAACAAGTTACATTATTTCTCCTCTACCAGTTTACTTTCTGTTCTATTTGGCATGTTTTTGAATCTCCAAGTTAGATAGTCTTGTTTGTCTCACTTTCTGGTGATGGAAACTTTGGTTCAGGTACACTTACAAAGTCTGCCCCTATAAACAGGCTTCTCAGGAGGAGGGCTATTCCACCACCCGTTTGGGGTAAGAATTTGGTAACTAGTATTGGTGGGTAAAAAAAATCTCACCCCCTTCCCAAAAAACAAAGCCAAATAATTCAGTTTCCTTCTATTTACAGGCGCTGGGACAAATTTGAGGATTCTTACAAAGTAATGGTATTTTCTAATGGTGATAAATGCTGGAATGGTCCTGATAGGAGTTTGAAGGTTATATGTTTTTAAATTTTGAAAATGTTGTGCAGTTGTTGCTCACAGTTATGACAAGATTATTTTGTATTCATTATATAATAATTAAATCCACTTAGGTTGGATGTAGAAGTATATATAAAATTTAAGTTTTTCTGTAAGAGTATGTTAATAGATAAAATATTCTGGGTTTGGGACACACATGAGAAAATGAAAGCAGTCCAAACCTAATGGCTGCAAAATTTTCAAATTAACTATACAAAATTTTAAAAAAAAGAATAAAACCAAGGTGATTAATCCATTGTTGGAGATCCTCTGCAAAGGATTGGGATCCCTTTAGGGAGTTCTGGATGGTGAACATTTTGCAACGATGGGTGGGCAAATTTTCAATTTCAGGTTCCATGGTTCCATACATTCCCATAATAATAATAACTAGTCATTATAGTTGCACAGGGAAATAGGAACTTAAAAGATTTCAATATGTGGGACCCTCTATTTTAATGGCTTTGTGTTTTTAACAGGTCAAACTAAAATGTGGGCTGAAAAACGAGATTACTGACGTAGACGAACCAAGCCGTTGCGAGTAAGGATTTTTGTTTTCTTTTTCTCTGCTCCTACCCCACTTCTCTTCATTTGTGTCAAATTTTTCTGTGTGATGCTTTCCCTTTTTCTCATTGTTCTTTCATTGGCATCATGGCAGATATGTGGCCTTATTATCTACCCCAGCACTTTGTCAAGAGGAAAAGCTGAAGGTACTTTTTATTTCCATGATAACAATGCCGTCCTTACCTCAATATGGTATTAATGGTAATTGTGGAACCTAACAGGAGTTACAACACAAACTAGAATTATTGAATTCGCAACAACCAGAAAAACATGATGAGTTGTGAACCATGTAAGTTTACTAGGCTATGTGATTCCTTTTCTTTTGAGACTTCAGTCTTGAGTTGATCAAATTTTATTTTGAACAGGTAGTATGATGATCATCGAGCAAACTGAAGAACTGGGGCCTTAAGTTTTGTATGCAAAGTGCTTACCCAAATTTATATTAGTTGGGGTTAGGGAGGGGCTAGGAGCGGGTTTGACTTGGGGTTGGTAATCCTTATTCTGGCTGCCTGGAGAGGCAACATTCTAATATGACTAATCCCCTTGCACTTCTTTCTTTTATTGAACACACAATTACATGGTCCCCGTGGCTCTCCTTGAAATTGTTCATTCCATTCCCCAAGGGTGGATCTTTATACTCTGCAAAATACTAGATAGTCAGAACTTCTTAAGCCAAAATTTTTGTTAGAATAAGTGCACGTTGTTATTGAATTTTAGATGGAGAAATGGTTTCAACAGTCTTCATTACTCTTCTACCATACCGATGATACGCAGAATTTGCATATTTTGTTTGCATGGCCTTTTCTCTGGAGAGTTAACATGAATGTTAGTAATATACTCTTTTTAACACATTTTTAATTATTAATTAAAATTTATTAAAAATTTTAAATTAATATTTCTCTTTTTATATTTTTGTAATTTTTAATAAATTTTAGCTAATAATTAAAAGTGTGTTATTAATATTTTTTTAGATTATTAGAAATATTTTTTGTTTATTTTGAATTAGTATATATATTTTGTGACATAAAGTAGGAATTATATTTTTGTAATTGTAAAATATTTATATTTATCTATGTATCATAAATAATAAAAAAGTCTTATCAAAATGATCAAATAAGTTTTTTTAAGTTTTATTAATTAAAATCTATTACTTTATTTATTTTAACTTTTCAATTATCGTGTATATGTTACTTGGTTTCTTTTATATTGTCATCCTTTTTAGTTATTAAATACTTTTTTAAAATTTAATATAACGAATCAAAGAAGAATTCATGTTTATATATCAAAGCTACCTTCTTCGGTCAAAAACATTTCGGATGGTTTGATCTTGTACACCAAACATGTTTTTCCTTGCTGGTCAGAAATTTAATTTCTTTCGGGTAAAATTATATAGAGTTCTAATATTCCATAACATGTTTTCAGAAAGTGTCAACCAAACATATACATACAATAAGTATATCACACATTTCATTAGCTTTTTACAATTTTAGATCATCTTCCTAAAAAAATTCTTGAAAATCTCCAAGAATAGAATAAAATCTATTACCTTAAAATATACAGTACATTGGAAATTATCACCCCTGGATGATTAGTTTGTGCGTACATGTTGATTATAATGCCAAGAACTATTTTTACATGTAATTCTTTATTTTGTAATAGTACAAACTCTTTCAAGATGTTTAAAGTTTATTTTATTAATTTTTATGTGATTTAACAATATCACGTCACTTTTTATTTTTCACTATTTAAACAATTCTTAACTCTAACCACACAACTCTTAAAAACTGTGTTAAATGGGTTCCGTAATTTATTTCATGTTTTTATACACTATTAGCATTTATTTTAATTTTTAATTTTAATGCTGAGTTTCACAATTTTTTATTAAGCAACATTGTTTAATTAAGCAAGTGTACCTATTATGCTATCTACGTCAGCTAATCTCCTATGCACAATCCTTAATGAGCAACGGTTATTTTAAAGAAGTGGTTAAGAATCCATTGAACATGCTCTTCATCTGTTGCATTTTGTAGCTTCGTCATGACAAGTTTTTTTTCTTCTTTTCATTAATCATTTTTTAATTTAATATTAATTAAAATTTTTAGTTTTATAATTTATCTTTTTATTTAATATAATAGAGTACTTATCAACCTCTATATATAATTTTTGAATTCAACTTTTTAAAAAAATAATTTTAAAATCTTTCTCATACAAAAATAGTTTTAGAAAATGGTTTTCTGTCTTGTCATGTCAAATGATTGATATGAAATAATAAATTTAAAATATTATAAAATCACTTATTTAAAAAATGATTTCTCTTATTTTAAAATTATTTATTCAATCTTGATTAAATTTTTATTTTTTATAATTTTCATTCTTTATTTTAAAAAAATTATCTCTTTAATTTAATTTTATTTGATACAATAAAATGTTAGTTATTAAATAAAAGTATTTACTATTTTAAAATTTATCAAAGTCATGTAATTTTATTTTCTATTTAAAAAATTATTTTAATTTAATGGTACATGTATAGTGCACCAAAAATTCATTAATATAAAGTCTAAAATGCTATATCATGAGTAGATTATAAATTCTTAAAAGTTGTAATAAAAATAATATTTACATTAATTTTTTATATATAAATATGTAATTTCTTGTAAAAAAAAATCAATCTATAACTATTTACGACAAAAATACATTGCACAAACAACTAAATACCATTGTTTACTTGAAACATGTCTGAAAATTCTGATTTAAGAATATATTGAATTAATAAATTGAAGTGAACTGGAAGTGATATGTATTTATTTTGCCACCGTCGAGGGGAGTAAGAGGTAAGTACTACTAAACCCACAACAGTGTGATGCGCGTGGAACCAATATTCAGCAAAACAGGTATCTGTGAACCCAGAAACCATTTCAACTGCTTTCAAAGTTTGCTGCTGACTCACTCATAACTTTCGGTAATTTTCTTCATGTTTTTCAACTTTAATTTAAAGTTAATGCTCGTGATTTTAGCTTCAACCTTGTAAATTGTTCATATAGAATCAATTAATCTTCATTATGTAATGCGTGTATGTGCGTTTCGGACCTTTACTGCAAAAACATTTAGCATTTCCCCTACTATGGTGTGTTGTACCTGCCCTTGCTTTTATAGGGGAAGCTGTTGTTCTTGTCTTACAAGGTTGTTTCTCATTCACCAGTAGATTTCTTTTTTTTCCCTTTTTTGAATTTCTGATGGCTGTAGCTGTACTGAACACAGGGAAAATTAGGATGGAGGTGCACTTTTTTAGCAAAATGCAAGGTTACAAACAGTTTGGATTTGATAAAATACAAGCATAGGCATAATAAACTAACCACTTGAACTTTTGACCTTAGAAGGTCTAAATCCCAAGGTTTCTCCGCCTAATATCCTAAATTACAGTCTATTTTGTCCATCAAGTTTTTTTCCCCTCATTAAATAGACAGGCGATTAGTGTTCATAAGCATGGACACTGTGACATGGCAAATTTTAAGAAAAAGGACGTGATAAAGTTAAACATAAAAGCTCAAATTTTTTACCTACAATCAAAATTTGATTATAACTTATCTAGCTTTGAATTAATTTTGGATTTATTTTATTTCCAAAATTTGTTTTAAAGAGTCTGGAATCCAAAAGTTGAACAATGAAGGTCCAAAGTATACTGAACATGATGTTGTGTTTTTAAAACCAGAAGTTGCTGACGTAAAAAAGTGAGAGCAGTATCTTGTCATTTTGTGTTTGCCTCTAAGGTTTTATTTCTTTCTCTTTAGTGAATTAGGTAGCAAAAACTGTATGAACAGATTACACAAAGTACCATGATGAACAACATATCCATGTGTCCTTTTGTGTCCGCAATGTATCCAATGATGTCATGATGGAAATATTGGTGGACCCCCTACGACATGTATTGAAGTGTATTGCTAGTGTGTCCGTGTTGACCACTGGTACAACGGCCTTTTAGGTGTGTTTGTGCTTCCTAGTTCATAACAAATTAGCAACCAAATAACCAGATTTGACTCTCTAGTGTAGAATTGTAAATAAAATATGTTTGGTTTTTACATTTGTCAAAAAGGCATTGCAGTGCATGAGTTTGCTACTATTATGTGGTCTCGAGAGTGTTAGATGTCTATAGCTGTAAGCTTTTTAAACCTCACCTTATTTGCCATCATGTACTCAAACATTTGTATAGTTAATGAGTCTCTTTTTTATTTACTGGAGGTATTATTCTCTTTATTTCTTTTGCCGGAGGCAAAGCTATTCTTTTCCTCCGTGTATGTTTGGCCTGTTGCCTAGCCGTGCAATATGACATTGGCTTCATCTCTCTATTATTATTTATTTCCTCCTTAGCAATATTATTGGCTTTTCATTCCATTCTATTAAGCATAGACACGCCATTTTGATACCGTGGCGAAATATTGAACACAATACATTGACGACACATGTCTGTAATGCAAGTAAAATATCCATTCTTTCTTAAAAAAAATTAAGCTCGTACATGGCTAAGACATGGTGGGACACAATCATTTAAAATTTGAAAAAAAGTTGGGTCTGTTTTAAACTTTTAAGTTTTAAGTAATTTTTAATAATTGAAGAGAATAAGACATTTTTTGCTTTCCCCAACTTCATTTCATTTTGGTGTGTATGACATATATCAAGATATTGCAAATCTTGAACCTTAAATTTATGATATTGTGAACTATGAATCTTTTTCCTTATTTTCTAACTATATGTATCTTCTAATTGAAATTTTACTGGCCATATATGTCATCGATGAGAGTACTGTTCAGACTTTGCACTGAACCAAAACCAGCAAGGCGTTTAGCCCTTCTGCTTTTGGAAACATGTTTGGAGATCTTGCCGATCCTTATGCATGTTTTATGCATACACTGGAATGGGCTTACCTGATTCTATGTCGTTAAATGATTAAATTGTAGATACCATGTCTTTGAATTTTGAGGCAATATTTGAGTCAACTTGACAATGGACACAATTTTATTTTTTATTAATCGGAGTTATGATATACACTTCATATGCTCTTAAATCTTTGTACTCAAAAAGCCTAAAGTAGCAAAAAACATGCATATAAGGGAATACTATTGATTGGGAAATACACAGTGCTATCATGATAGTGCAGAGCAAAGCAGCTCCTTGCCACAGCACTGTGTGCATATTGCAGTTTTGTATAGCAGTTGGAACAGTGCAAATCACTACGGTGTGCATAGCATTGCAGTTTTGTATAGCAATTGGAACAGTGCAAATCACTGCCACAATGGCAGCTGTTGTGACTGCTATTTGATGCAAGACAAAAATGTCAAATTTAGCCTCACTTTCTGAACCTTAGAAGGATTTTAAAGGGTTCAGAACTCCTCCATTTCCTTGTCCAATTTCTCATCAAACCATCAAAATTATTTTAATACAAATTTTATTTTAAAATTATTAATATTCTCAAAATATTCAATGGCCAAGATTGCATCCATTTCCAAAGAGGATCCATTTCTGCATTTAAGGCAAGCAATCTTGGGATTTTTTCCCCCTTTTACATTGGGACTGTTTGCTCCACACCATTGTATCATTCAAACTCAGCATTCTCAAACTCTAGGTGCTCCCATTCACCATATCTGACAACTTCTGCTTTGTCTAGCAAGCTTTATTGTGGCTGACATCTTTTTCAGCATATATATATATATATATATATATATATGTGTGTGTGTGTGTGTGTGTGTGTGTGTATGTGTGTGTATGTGTGTGTAGCATAATTTATATTTGGTATTGTTAAGATGTCTCACATTGGTTAGAGATAGAGTTAGAATATTCCTTAAAAGGGATAGGACAGTCCTCCTCTAATGAGCTAGCTTTTGAGAATGAGTTAGGCCCAAGTTTTTTAACATGAAATCAGAGTCTATTCAATTTGAATGTTGGGCAGCCCACAAATGTCCAGTCTTATAAGGTCCACCCATGTAGATGTCCAGTCTTGCAAATTTAATGCATTGGATGTCTAGTCCTGAGCGTGAGGAGAGTGTGTTAAGATGTCTCACATTGGTTAGAAATAGAGTCAGAATACTCCTTATAAGGGTTAGGACAGTCCTTCAAGGTGTTTTTTTGGGTTGGCAGCTCTGCTCCACTATCTAAGATTGACTACTATTGCATATATGTGCAATAAGTCAATTCAAATATCTCACTTGCTCTTTTTGACAAACCCATTACGAAGTCCCAATGTTCTCTCTAACATAGTGCTTGGTTGGAGGGAAATGGAGGGAAAAAAGCTAAAATCCCTCTTCACTCGATTTTATCTCCACCCCAAAATCAGGGGAACTAGGAGTGATCTGAGAATCTTTTAGACTAATTAGACAAAGTTATCCTTAATTTAATAACTAATTGATATCCTATGTATATAATATTAAATTTGTTTTTTTCTCTTCCTCTCCCTTTCTTCCCCTTGTGAACTAAACAATGTATCTCTCCCCTTCATTAAAATCTCTCCCATCCGCTCTATTAAAATTTGAGCCAAACAATGCGTAAGATCATGTATTTTATTTGGACAGTGGTACTTAACAAGATTAATATAAATGACTTGTTGCATATTTATAGGTTTAACACTTAGTTCTCTGCAGATAATGCATGTTTGTGGATCTAGTTCATGCATCCCTTTAACTTGTTTGGGGATATAATTGTGTTTTTGCTTCTGGAGTTTTGCTCACTGCCATTTCAAAGGAGTTGTTATATGTTAAGATGTCTTACATTAGTTAGGAATAGAGTAAGAATACTTCTTTTAAGGGCTAGCATAGTCCTCCTCCTATGAGTTAGCTTTTGGGAGTGAGTTAGGCCTAAGTTTCTTAACATTATATATGACATGCAGACAGATCGGGCAATCTTATTTTAGTTGAGTTTCTTGGATATCTTAGTCGCTCACTATTTGTACTTTACCCCCTTTCTCTGTTAACAAATTTTCCTTATCAATACAAAATATTTGTTGTGCATTTATTTCCAAAGGCTGTATTCGGTATAATGGTAGCCACTTTCTCTGTTAACAGAATTTCCTTAACAAATTCTTTTGATTTTTCATTTAGATGGAAGAAGTTTGTCTGAATAGTCAGCCACTTTTTGATGAAAGTGATGAGGTTGATATTGAGGTTGAGGGGAACTCTTCTGTAGCAGATCATGATCTTGAATCTTTTAACTCACAACCAAAATACGCTTCACCTCCAACTGTGGGTCTGGAATTTGATTCCTTTGATGAAGTTTACAACTTCTACAACATTTATGCAAAGGAACAAGGCTTTGGTATCAGAGTGAGCAATTCATGGTTCAGATCAAAGAAAAAAGAGCGCTATAGAGCAAAACTTAGCTGCAGTAGTGCTGGCTTTAAGAAAAGAAGTGAGGCCAATAATCCAAGACCAGAAACAAGAACTGGTTGTCCTGCAATGATAGTGATTAGAATGGTTGAGTCGAAGAGATGGAGAATAGTGCAAGTTGAGCTTCAACACAATCATCAAGTGAGTCCACAGAGCAAACGGTTTTACAAGTCACACAAGAAAATGATCCTTGAAGCCAGAAAATCACAACCACCACCAGAGCCTATAACGGAAGTGCACACCATCAAGTTGTATCGAACAACTGTCATGGATGTTGGTTACAATGGTAACTCAAATTATGAAGAAAGTCATGACCCCAATTTTGATAATTTTAAATATTTAGAACTTAGAGAGGGGGATTCCAACGCTATATATAATTACTTTTGTCGAATTAAGTTGACCAATCCAAATTTCTTTTACTTGTTTGATATTGATGATGATGGGCACCTAAAAAATGTTTTCTGGGCTGATTCCAGGTCAAGGGCTGCTTATAATTACTTTAATGACACAGTTACGATAGACACAACTTGTTTGGCAAACAAATTTGAGATCCCTTTGGTATCATTTATTGGCATAAACCATCATGGACATTCTGTACTATTGGGCTGTGGCTTCCTTGGACATGAATCAGTCGATTATTTTGTCTGGATATTCAAGTCATGGCTTAAGTGTATGCTTGGTCGTCCTCCACATGTTGTTATTACTGACCAGTGCAAGCCATTGCAAAATGCAGTTGCTCAGGTTTTCCCTTGTGCTCGTCATTGTTATTCTTTGCATTATATCATGCAAAGAGTTCCAGAAAAGTTGGGAGGGTTGCAAGGATATGAGGCAATCAGAAGGCAGCTGTATAATGCTGTCTATGAGTCGTTAAAGATAGTTGAGTTTGAAACTTCCTGGGCTGATATGATTAAATGTCATGGACTTGGAGATAACAAGTGGCTTCAGGTGTTGTATGAAGATAGGCATCTGTGGGTTCCTGTTTACCTAAAAGATACCTTTTTTATAGGACTCATCCCAACTAAAGAAAATGAGGGGCTGACTGCATTTTTTGATGGATTTGTGCATAAGCATACATCCTTTAAGGAATTTCTTGACAAGTATGATCTAGCTCTGCACAGGAAGCACTTGAAAGAAGCCATGGCAGATTTGGAGTCTAGAAAAGTAAACTTTGAGTTGAAAACGAGATGTAATTTTGAGGTCCAGCTTTCAAAGGTGTATACAAAAGAAATCTTTACAATGTTTCAATCTGAGGTTGAGGGCATGTACTCTTGCTTTAACACAAGACAGGTAAATGTTAATGGATCTATAATAACATACATTGTGAAAGAAAGAGTTGAAGTTGAGGGGAAAGAAAAGGAAGTTAAAAGTTTTGAAGTTTTATACGAGACTACGGGATTGGATATTCGTTGCATTTGCAGTTTGTTCAATTACAAAGGATATCTATGCAGGCATGCATTGAATGTTCTCAATTATAATGGTGTTGAGGAAATCCCATCTCGGTACATCCTGCATCGTTGGAAGAGGGATTTCAAGCAAAGGTTTAATCAATTCCATGTCTCTGGTAATATTGATTCTTACAACCCTGTGTACTGGCATACTCATCTGTTTAACAATGCTCTTCCAGTGTTAGAAGTAGGGGCACAGTCACAGGAGCATTATATGGTTGCTTTAAAAGAACTGGAGGAGGTGTTAGACAAGTTTGACCATTTTGATACTGAGGATTTGTAAACAATTGACATTATAATGATGTTACTTCTAATTAACTGTTTGCACTCGTGTGGTTGGTTTATTCAAGTTTTTTGTGCTACTGGTTATTTTATGAAATGAAATGCCAGTGGCCCAGTGCCAATTACATGACATATTTCTTTTAAATAAGTTGAACTGTGTTGATACTAACAGAACCAAATATTCTAGCATTTCGCCATTCTTTAACCTGTATCAGACATAATTATAATCACCGACCTCTTTAACTTTCACTCTGGTTATGTGAACCTGCTTAAAATACCCTGCGAACTTTACTGGTGTTTTTATGGTTTGAGGTACACTTCTTGCCCTCAATTATGAGGATTTTCTCGACACAAAATTCGAGTTATGATCGAATAGAGAAGTAAGGAGCTCTCCAAATTCTATAATACCAAAAATGTCGAATTAATCCTAGTGAAAGAAAATTAAATTAAATTTTTTAATAAATTAAATTAGAAGTAACAATTAAATTAAAATGTTATAATAAATTTTAGAAAGGTAAATATTAGAATTATTAATAATAAATATTTTATTATATTAAACAATTTTAAAATTAATATGAAATTATATATATATATTATATAATAAAGACAAATCCCTTAAAAACACAAAGAAAAAATTCACTTAATATGATAAAAAAATTATTCTCCTATCTGAAAATGCTATTAAAAAGCTCTCGATCCTAAAAATCCAATTATTAAAAATCATGAATTATATATATAGGTTGATTAGTGGCTTAAATAAACAGTGGTGCTGTTTTACAACTTGAACTTTAATCTACAATAAAGGACTTAATCTTCCTAATCACCAAAAGAAAAACATCTAAAAAAATGCATTATTAACAATATTTTAAGCGACAGATGAGTCAAACAAAATTAAAAAAATGAGAATAGGCAGGGACAGTGTATAATTTGTTTTACATAATCTCAGGAAGCACAACAGAACATCGTCTTTTTGTGTGTTCGGTTTAGAATACGTTTGAGAAGCAGAGGTTGTTGATCTCAGATGGCGACATCAAAGGTAGCAGAGAAGAAGCCCAAAACGAAGATCGTGTGCACGCTGGGCCCTGCATCGAGGTCCGTGCCCATGACCGAGAAACTTCTACGTGCCGGCATGAACGTCGCTCGCTTCAACTTCTCTCATGGCTCCCACGAATACCATCAAGAAACCCTCGATAATCTTAGAACCGCCATGGAAAACACTGGTATTCTCTGCGCCGTTATGCTCGACACCAAGGCACGATTTCTTCTTTATATTCTCATCGCCGATTCCTTTTTCATTTTTATAAATATTATGTTTTCTTTGATAATTGCTAATTTTGACTATTTAACTTTATATAAATGAAATCTAATCTAATCTATTAAAGATTGCACGGTTTATGTATAAATCCACAATCATGACGAATAGTGCACTTCGCATTCAAAACCTGATAGTTTGGGCGTATTGTGTTGCACTCAGTGCTGAATCGGTGCAAATCCTAGGAATTGATTTTTGTGTTAACTTAATAAATTGAATCAAACGTGTCGAGTTCCTTCCTTTTTCTTAAGAGTAAGTAAATAAATTGGTCCCGGAAAATGGCACTTTGAATACCTATGATTCCAGAAAGTTTTCCTTTGTGTAAATTAGTCGTTGAATGTGTTAAATTTGCTATTCTGGTCCTTTTGGAAACTAATTGGTTCCCAACCGGATGTTATTTACTCTCATTTTACTTACATTTTTGTGAAGGAAGGACCAAAATATAAGTAAATATTTGGAGATAAAATTGTACAAAGTGGAACTTTCATGACCAAAGATAAACAGAATATCATTTTTAAGGATCAAATTGTATATTTACTCTGTATCTTAATAAATTGAGTTGAACATTTTGGAGTTCCTTCATCATCTTTGATTTTATCTGACTATGTACATTGCTGTAGGGGCCCGAGATTCGAACAGGATTTCTCAAGGATGGGAAGCCTATCCAACTGAAACAAGGTCAGGAAATAATGATTTCAACTGACTACAGTATAAAGGGTGATGTGAATATGATTTGCATGAGCTACAAAAAGTTGGCTGAGGATGTGAAGCCTGGGAGTGTCATACTCTGCTCAGATGGCACCATATCATTTACAGTTTTATCATGTGACAAACAATTGGGTCTGGTTCGATGTCGGTGTGAGAACTCTGCTGTTCTTGGTGAGAGGAAGAATGTTAACCTGCCTGGAGTGATAGTGGATCTGCCAACTTTGACTGAAAAGGACAAGGAAGATATCTTGGCCTGGGGGGTTCCCAATAAGATTGACATGATTGCTCTTTCCTTTGTTCGGAAAGGTTCGGACCTGATTGAAGTTCGGAAACTGCTGGGAAAACATGCTAAGAGCATTATGCTCATGTCAAAGGTATGTTATGTTGTGTTCTCTTGTATGGGAAGGAAGTAATTCTGGAGCTGGATAAACATGTTTTAGTTTTCTAAATCAATTATGTTATCCTTGAGATGCCTATTACATCCACGCTAAAGGGTGTTGTAGGAAATCATCTTACAAATTCGTGTTCTTTAAAGAAGCTATCTTATGAGTTTCTACTAATATTTCCTGTCTCTAATACAATGTTATATTTAAGAGACATGCTAACAGCATATTCTGAGACACACTCTTTTCAACGCACGATTATTGGGTGAAATCCATGTGGGTCTTACTCAATGATGTGGGCCTCACTCCTTATTTAGTGGGTCTCACATGGATTTCATCAACAATAAAGGTTGTTCTGGAAAAGAGTGTGTTGATTTTTCTATATTTAGTTGTTTCTGAACACTAATTCTGTTTGGTTGCAGGTTGAAAACCAAGAAGGAGTTGCAAATTTTGATGATATCCTTTTAAATTCCGATGCATTTATGGTGGCACGTGGTGACCTTGGAATGGAAATTCCCATCGAGAAGATATTTCTTGCGCAGAAAGTGATGATTTACAAGTGCAATATCCAAGGAAAACCAGTTGTGACTGCAACCCAGATGTTGGAGTCAATGATCAAATCTCCCAGGCCAACCAGAGCTGAAGCAACCGATGTTGCCAATGCAGTGCTGGATGGCACAGACTGTGTGATGCTCAGTGGTGAAACAGCTGCTGGAGCTTATCCAGAACTTGCTGTGCGAACGATGGCTAAAATATGTATCGAAGCAGAGAGCACCCTTGACTATGGAGACGTGTTTAAAAGGATGATGGAGCACTCACCCGTACCCATGAGCCCATTGGAGAGTCTTGCTTCTTCTGCTGTTAGAACAGCCAACTCAGCTAAGGCTGCCCTTATATTGGTTCTAACCAGAGGAGGGAGCACTGCAAAATTGGTGGCTAAATATAGGCCAGGCACGCCAATTCTTTCTGTAGTTGTTCCTGAGATTAAGACTGATACCTTTGACTGGTCATGCAGTGATGAGGCCCCTGCCAGACATAGCCTCATATTCCGTGGGTTGGTTCCGATACTAAGTGCAGCTTCTGCTAGAGCTTCTCATGCTGAAACAACTGAAGAAGCAATTGAATTTGCCATGCAACATGCCAAGGCAAAGGGTCTCTGCAATATTGGCGATTCCATTGTGGCCCTGCATCGTGTGGGCACGGCGTCGGTCATCAAAATATTGACTGTGAAATGATCACACTTTAAAAGGAGTTCTTCAGCTGTTTGTGGAGAATTATTTAGATGGTATGATGCAAACTTCTATCAAAAGCATTTATTAGGGTGATTCTCCTGTTTTCCAATTATCACACATCACTGTTTCTTTGTTATATTTGCCTTATTATTGTGGTGAGTGGCCACCAGTTTTCATTTGTTAAGATTTTGATAAGGCTTTTGATGAACCAAAAAGACTGGCTGAAATATGAATTTTGAATTTTGCACGATCTAAAGTTGCTTTGATACAGCAGTGTCTGTTTTTTCTGTTTTTAAAGTATTGAGGAATAGGTTTTCCCACCACCATTCTGCGAAATGCAGCAGGATTGGTTATTCCATTTTTTTGGTTTCAATAATGAGTTATAAAGCTAACCCATCGCAATTACGGGTGGGGTTGGCAGATAAACCTATTTATTTAATAAAAAATTGAAATTATACAGACGAAAAGGAGAATAAAAAAGGGGGGGGGGGGTGTTGATAGTTGAAGACATGCAGAGGAATGGAGTTCGAGAAATGATGAGAATTGTGTTTGGGCCTTGGGTGATTTGTGATTGGGAAAAGAAAAATTATGAAAGTGAAATGTATAAAACCAGCTCGCTGTATGTTTGGTTGCTTGTTAAAATTGGATATATGTGCGTTTGAAATACAAAAGTAAACTTCTAGTGCATGTTTGGAAACCACCTAAAATCACGTTCAATAGTATGCTCATTCATAATAAGCGTTGGACGCGAAATCAAACATGCCATGGATAGGTGTCAATTCAATCTTAATCAGATACTTGTTACTAGTGATGGGTTAGGATAATATAATATTTACCTTGTCTGTAATTTTTTATTGGCTAAGGGAGCTAACTCAACGATAAGACTTATTTCTAATTTTCATTTTTTAATATCAATTTAAAATTTGACACTTTAATTTTTAAATTTTATTAAAAATAGTAATACAAGCACACGAGTAGCTAGACATAAAGTTATTACAATATACACCTTTAATTGATTTTCTTGTTTTTAAAGTATAATTTGTTAAAAGTTTCTGAATTTTGAAATTTTGAAAAAATAAAATGAAAAAAAAAAAACGATACAAATAACACAAAATTATATGAAGTATGAGTCTTTATTAATCGACATATTTATGTTTTTATACAAAAAAAAAAAATTCAAACATAATATAAAAACAATGTGGATGAAATTTAGCTTGATTTGAATATAATATCTAAATTGAACTAAACCAAATTATCCTTTTACGTTTTGGTTTGGATCGATTATTCATTTTTTATTTATATGAAATTTACTTTTTATTTATTTTTATGACTTTTGCTTTAAATTAGACGGGTGACTTAACAAGGCTAAAAAGTAAAATAGTTTTATTGGGAGACAAAGAACGGAGAGGAAAAATCTTAAATAGGAGAGTGAAAATGTGAAAGAAGCGTAAAAGTGTTAGCAAAGAAGGAAAAAGAAAGGATTATATGATTGAGATAAGAGAGATGAGAGTAGATATATAAGTGACACACCATGTGTTTATGAAGTTAAAGATAAGGTTAAGGAAAGAATTAATTTTTGAGGTTGTAACACTTAAAACAATATAAATATTATAAGTGATTCACTTTGATTTAACAAAAATTACATGTTAACTAAATTGTAGTAAAAATGACTTATTAGTTTAATCATTTTTTAAAATTAATTTGACAATTTAAAATACTTTGAACACTCCTATACAAAGGTTACGATAAGAAAATATTATAAGAGAAAACCTTATTAAAATTAGTTATAGTTTAGTTTAACTTGATGAAAAAATATAGCTCAAAACTTGAGCAATGAGCGTTTTAATATGAATTAAGTTTAATAGTTCCAAATTAAGTTCATGAACCATTTATTTCAACTTATGTAACAAATGTCATAACGAGATAATATGAAGCCAAGCTAACATTTGAACTTAGGTTCAATAACTTTATGCATTAAACCAGATAGGTCAGACATTCTTTTTCTACTTCGAAGCTGTGCCATGGAAAAAAAGAAAAAAGATCATTTTGAACTTCTTTATGCAACAAATTGGAGAGGCTCAAAGGAAGACCCTGCAAAGTACCAAGTCACTACGTGTTTAGTAGCTTAATGCTTATTTGACACGAAAAAAAAAGCAGCTTAATGCTTGGAATTGTTCGTTTAATAGTATAACGATAACATTGAAATCTAAACTTGAAATATCATGCAAATTATTCAAACCTGTGTCCTCGTTACTATTCTAATCTTAGTGGTTTTTATTGCTTGAATGCTTGACTTTATCTTCAATGTTGGACTCTTTATGCGGCAATAATGATAATAATAATAATAAGTGGATTATGACCAGTTACTTCAATACAAACAGCTCAAAGCAAGGCATCATGTGACCTAAGTTATAATTAATAAAATAACAGTGATAGCTTGGTCTTGAATCAATGAAAGAAAGACTCAAATCTTAACTATTCAATACCATCATATAACAAATTTCCCGGGAAACGAAATCCAACATGAAATATTAAAACTACAGGTTTTGGGTTTGTCAATTTAAATTTTATATATATATATATATATATATATATATATACACATTTCCCCTAGATCGATAACAATTTAAATTTCATATCTTTATTTCTTTATATTTCCCCTAGATCGATAAGTTTGGCATGACCAGTTAGTGTTGGAGAATCGACTGTCGCTCACCTGCTGTGCAATTCAATTACAATATGAACACTAAGTGGTTTCAAAGCATCTTTAATAACGTATATATCTTCATGGTCTAGTTTCAAAAAGAATAAAATGAAAAAAAAAATTATATATTTTGCTTGTATTCCCTATATATTCACTAACTGGCAGCCTAATCAATCACTGCAAAAGGACAAACAAAAAAGAACCCCGGAAAAAAAGATATTACATTCCAGGCATCTTTTCCACCTATACGCAGCATGCAAAGCTAGAATGCAGTGTGCCAAACTGCTAGCCCATTTGCAGATATGTCAATTACCTGAAACCCAAATCTTTGACACAACCAGAATGGCTTCCTCAGCTCAATTTTTGTCATTCAACTGCTGCTTCAAGGTGATTCTTGTCATAACGTGTAACCGTATGCGCCTCTCCTTCCAACCAAAATTTACAATGAGAAAGTTGTCAACAAAGGCACATGGCTCAAGACCCACTCCCATACAGTTTGCCGAATAATGAAATAGAAACTTATACCAATATAGGAGTGAGAACACTGCTTTTCGGGCTCTATCTCAAACAAGATCCTTCTTGATTGATCCGTTCTCTTCCTGCAAGGCCCAAATCATATTAGAAGTGAACAAGACTTGTCATGCAATGGGAAAGCAACATAAAGTCTAACATATAAATACAAAATCATTAGGATTTGAAAGATAACCAGATCATACACATAATAAGGAATTTATATATCAAATAGATAGCTGGATTTGGGGGGATCAAGATGCCAGCAGGCATCAAAATGAGAAGCATAATATCAAATCTTGAGCAAACAAGAAAATTTAAGTATCAATTCCTTCCTTTGCAGAAAGAAACAAAAGTGATAAATATTAAGGGCAAAGACTTAATTCAACTGAAAATGTATTTGTACGTAGAAAAAACAGATGTGATACTAGAAACACAACAACAACAATTAGGCCTTATCCCACTAGGTGAAGTTAGTTACATAGATCATGCGACACGACTGAGCTCGATCAGAAACCATATTTTTAGAAATCTGGTTAATTAATGATACTGGAAAACAAAACTAGAGATTTGATAAATGTTGCTTTATTTTGCTCAATGCCAACTTAATCATTCCCTGTATTGATAATATCATCCACATCAAGCAAGATAAATGCAACAATAGGAGGATGCACACCAATAAAAGACCAAATGATCAACTTCAATACAAGTCATGTCAAAGTCAACAATAGTTATAAAGCAGCTAAACCAAACTCAGGGGAGTCGTTTTAAGTGAGACAGACAAAGATATACAAAGTTTGCACACCAATACAAATCTCAATAACAAACCATGTGATTCTCTCCATGTAAACTTCCTCAGTTCCTTCTATAAATCACCATGTAAGAAGACATTTTATGTCAAGTTGATGACAATGTTTGACAATCTTAGCAACTACAGTATAAGAGTCACTATAGTCAAGGCCAGAAATGAATGTGTAGCAATGGCATCACAAAAATGCCCACCACCAGCCGACGGTAGATTTTCCAGCTAGACTGGAAACAAAATCCCACATACTATTAGAATTGTTAGGATAGGGAAGCCCCAAACAGTAAAACACTGGGAGATCTTTCTTCATCAACTTAGCAAGGAACTACATTTATCATATCTTGACCAAAACCATGAAGACTTAGGTCTATAGGCTCATAGGAGCTCTTAGAGAAAGAGAAATCTTTTGCCTAGTAAATATTCAAAGTGTACCATTATAGTTTTCCACTTTTAACAACATTTTAGGGCTATAGCTGAGGTGGTAAATGGTATAGAGCAAGAGGATAAGACACCTAATAGTTTGAAGTTATTCCAATTATATGATCTTTGGTCTTCACTAGGGCCATCCCTCCAACCAGATACTTCATTCATGCTTGAATTACCAAAAGCTGAAGACAAACATCAAAACAATCATAGCTTGACTGCCACACCAGCCTAGATAGGAAGAAAGTCTTTTGCCTATGGTCTTAGAAATGGAAACATGGGATAGACACAAAACAAAGTAAAATGTTTATAACTGAGGAAAACATAAATAGGATGAATATATGGGTAGACTATTTACTTTTCTGAAGAGCAATATTAGGGCCAAGTTAGAGAAGACTACAAGTGAAGGTGTAATAAATTGGAACATCCTCAGAGACCAGGCTACCACCAATCAGGAGCCATGGTAATCATTGAAAAGTATTAGCCATAGGACAATATCTTTTCTGAAGAAAAGAGTATTCCAGGAAAGACATTTAAATGCCTTGGCAGTGAACTTACCTTTACTTCGAGTAAAATTAAGAATAAAAGTAGTATTGTGAAAAATATGAGATGAAGAATGTACACTAGAATCTGGAAACAAAATAGAGTGGGGAGATCCTACAACACATAAGAGGGCATGCAGCTAATGATAAGATTTAAAATCATCAACCCAAAAACAAAATCTGTTCAATTTGTATTTGCCAATTGTAATTGTTTTACTAAATTTGTGCAAATATAACACACTTTGCAGAGTTGTATGCTCCTTTCTTATATAGAAGTATCAATTGTATAGACAAAAACATAAAACCCATATTATCTACACAAAGCCATTGCTGACCAAAAGTATCAGAGATAAAAAAAGTTGGCATTCACTCTTCGTATTTCAACAACACATTACATGCTATACCGTCCAACCAATAACAGATCATTCATATAATCAAATTAATTTCAGTAGACCAAACACAAGTTTCCAACTTAGACAGAGCATTAACATATCAGAGAGAATTAGCAGAACCAAACTTTAATTAGCATAAGACTGCTCCAATAACTGAAAGAAAGTTTACCATTAAATAAACAACAGGACTCAAAATTCTCCTATAGTCCTATCCAAATGTATTGAACAATAAAAAAAATATATTATAATAAAATAAACAGGAAAAACAATATATCAAGTTTGAAGTCTCCCTGTTATTCAGGTCTGTGAAAATTCCAAAGAAGAACTGAACCTTAACTTTAAAAAAGCTACAATCAAAGAAAAGATCAATGAAAGTAAAACTACTCGTTTAAAAAGACCATGTTCTTTACACCAAGTAGAGGTCAATTGCCTAATCTTATCCCAAATCAACCATTGATCCTAAGAAATCTCCTTAAAGATTCAACCTAAAATCCTTTAGGTAGAAACTCCAGAATAAATCAGGACAGAATGATAACTGAAACATAAACCAGGACATGATTTTTTATATGCATAATAAAATTGGACTGAGCTAAAATGTTCCTCTGAAGGTATCCTAATAGGATCCTTGTCTTGCAATATTTACCATAAATTATCTGCACTAAATAAATGAAATCACTAAAAGATCATTGTTAAAGTTATATAAAAACCAATAAAAATAATAAAACATCACAATATACTAACATTTCCGCCGTTCTGTATAACACTTACTAGACCAAAATTCATGGAAAATTGTAAATCTAGTTCCTTGAAAATATGTGATTAGAGTAAAAGAGGTTCTAGACAAACTAATACAGATTGATGATGTTGTAAAAGGTTAACAGACTACAAAAGGGCAGCATATAATAAAGAACTTACATCCACAACCTGGAAAGATATGCCTGTGGATGACTTCTGAGAAACCTCAGCAGGAGAGGCTGACTCATTCTGGGTAACGTCATGATTGTGCATCTACAAGCCAAATGAAATGAGTCAGGTAATACTAATAAAACTTGTCCAAATAGAGAATTGAATAGATAAAATAATACGATGATGAAATATTAAATAAAAGCCTTCCCTATGATTTGGGGGAAAAAATGAAAACTCCAAGAGATATCAAACTCTTCCATAGACTGAAAACTTAGAAATGTTGGTGGGAGAACAGCATATCTGAGACAGAGACTAGACTAGTAACAACAAATGGAGCCTTCCCTTGCAACAAATCAAAAAGGGAAGGAAGAAGAATAAAGTTGAAGTATAAATCTTCATCACTTGGATGCATAGTATTTGACCCCGTGCTGAGGAATAGATAAAATTAATTGGTATGACAAAATAGACAGATCTCGTATCATAGGTAAATGGTGAAGAAATAGAAAACTTGGAAGTTCACCAGTAAAGTATAATGTCCTCAATAGAACATCTTTCTTTTCACCTGTATCCTAATCAATGTATTACAAAATTTCACAAAATTGATATTTAATTACTAGGGATCCAAAGATGTATACTGATAATTGCTTACAATGAAGGACTCCACAACCAACCTCAGCAACACCCAAACAAAATACTCACCCACACTAGTTCATAGTTTTACTAAAAAACACTAATTCAGCCTAATTTGAACCATGGTTAACCTAGTGATAATTAAATATATTTTAATATTATAAAATCTATTTAGTAAAACTCATGAAGAGGAGCCTTGGTGCAATACTTATAGTTGTTGTCATGTGATTAGGAGGTCACATGTTGAGTTGTGGAAATCAACCTCTTGCATATGCAAGTTAAGGTTGCTTACAATGGGCCCAACCCTGCCCTAGATGTTGCCATGGTGGGAGCTCTGTAGCACTAGGTTTCCCTTTTTATTAAGTAAGCTTACATAAAGCACGAGAAATTTAGTTAAAATTTTAAATTAATATAAAAGAACCATGTTATATGTCCTGCAAGATAAAAATTTAATAATTAATAAAAGGCTATATAATAGCAACCCATATGTCATATGTGGATCTTTATTTGTTCCGAAATTCTTTTTGAATAATAATAAAAAAAAAAAAGAAATGAAAAGTAACAAAAAAAGTTCAAACCAGTTTGTTTTAATCTTTTGGACGCAAATGACTCTTTGCTGGTTTTTACTCCTTTGGTTTTATGACTTGTCTGAACAAATAACCGGAAAGTCTAACTAACGGATCCTATGTTTTAACCTCAAAAGTATCCATAATCAAACACATTCTAAAGCACCAAATATTTCACTCTCAACCTGTTGGCAGTTTATACTTTATACACACCAAGATTCAATTCAATAGTAAATAAAGCTGCTAAAAAGTTAGAGTACTGGTGGACTTGAAGTACCAGAGTAGATAGAATTGTTTCTCAATAGGTTAAGTACTGGCATAGATAAAATCTCACAACAAGGTGTCTAACTGATACCAATTGAAAATTAATCATCAAAATGAACATAAACAGATATATGGTTGTCCAAAATTTAGCCTACCCCATGTGAATATCTGTTTTCTTGACCATCTTCAAATAGGGATGAGTAGTATGTTGGATCATAGATAGAGCCTCCGAGTATCTCATTAGAGTCAGAGCATTGCCTAACCACTGCAGGTGTCACAGGACTCAAAAAACTACTCCTCAAGTCAAAATCTGCTGCTCGAGAAGCTGTGTCCACATAGGAAGCACCCAACCTATAAATTTGAATCCATAATAACGAGGATGATAGCCTCACTATAAAACCAGCAATTTGCATAGCCAGAGTAAGTTTCACTGAAAATATGAAAAATGTAGTATAATCCTTGGTAGAAATGTTCCTGCAAATACACATAATGCTCTTCATCAGATATTAATGAAAACAGTCATGATCACTCGTTTGATTCATACAAGCAAATAAAATTGGTTGGTATGAATATGTATATTCTACTCTCTTCACTACATAGAGCAGTGACTTCATATTGATAAATAATACTAAATTTAGGATGCATGCCGTTGAAATTATCAAGACTAGGAAAGAAAGGAGAGAATAAAGACTCTAATAATATTCTGCTAGATAGTAGATTGATATGCTTTGTAGCAATATGATAAATATTAATTCAATGGTTCTATTTATACTAATGATAAGGCATTACTAGCACAAACCCAAACCCACAAATACAATAACACAACTAACACTAATTATATAAGAAAATAAATCAAGAAATATAATGAAATCGGGAATTAACTCTGAAGATTGCTTCTTCCATTAGATGACAAATTGATTTCACAATATATTCTAAGATGTTACAAATATATTTTGGAGATATGTTAAGATACTCCAAAATAACGTCAAGATATTTTAACATTTCTCCTCACTTCAAAGTTTACTAAGTTTTAAGCCTGTTAGAATTCAACGATTTACGAAAGAAAATAACAAAAACATACAGTAGGCTCCATAAAACATGGATGGAAAAACAACTCAAGGATGCAAGAGATGACAGAGAGCTGAGCATAACAGGAAAAGTAAGTTTGCGCTAAAATGATCATCAGCCATAAGAGTTGGTTGTAATATTGCATGACCAATGAATAAGAAACTTCATTGGAAAGTTGCTGAATCAAAATTTCCTTGCAAGCAATTATACCCCATAAGGTTTACTTAAAACTTCTCCAACTTCAAGAACAGCATCTGAAAGCTTTAAACAGCAAGAAAACATAGGAATCCAATAAACTTTCAAGAATAAAATCTAGGGACGGTGTGAATCATGACCAACATATGTCACCATCATAATGAACATCAAAAGGAATAGAAGGCACCTTTGGACCATTAGTGGATAGAAGAGTCCCTGGTGGAACAAGATGAGGAACACCATGAAACAACAGCAAATAAAATGAAATATAATTTTTATTGCCATCATGTGCATAATCATTTTTAAGAAAAGGATCGTGGAGATAAAGACATCAACATAGATAGGTAGCAGAATTCTAGATATTAAGGAATTCTGGCAATGGATAAATGATGGGACCATGTCATGAAGGATGATATCACTCTAATTACATGTTGAAACTGCAGTGTGTAGGTAAGGAAGGAGAGAATAATAGAATAAAGATTTAATACTCTGAAATTTTAATAGATTCAACGTTGTCATGATAGAGATCCTTCCTAGCATTACAAAGGGGGATGTAGACACATAAAACAAGAAACAGTAACATGGATTGAGATTTGCGAGATCTCACCTAAAATAGCAAACTTAAATTCAAATACTTTCTCACATAAAACACAAGACATCAATGTCAAAGAGAAGGTCCAATGACCAATCTTCTAACAAACAAAGGTCACAACCCAAGTTAAAAGACATGAAACCAGTGTCCAAAACAAGAATACAACAACACAATAAAATAAAATTGAGTAATGGCACAAGCAGAACAGAAGTTCAACGACAGATTTAGAGAAAAGCACAGAGCAAATGGCCTGCCCAAACATAGATGACAGCTAAACAATGTACGAATAGTTATGTTGCAGTTTCTGAACCAAGGTGACATGTCACAAACCTATCTAAAGATAACGCCCCATGCGGTTGGGCAGTTGCAACATTAATAGTATGAAACCTATTGCATGTAGATGAACGACTTAACCAGGGAACATTGACTTTCCAGAGAGCTTTTCTGGAGAAAAATTACAACTGTTTAGTTAGGAATTGGAAAATGGACAAACAAAATGATTCTAGTAACAATGCAAGTGGTTCCAAACTCAGCTGTAACAAGGTCAGCATCGCGAAAGAGACATATCATGAGGAAATCATTTTCCAGCGGCTCAAACTTGTTTCAATAATTCACAATCACATCCATCCCACCCATTCTGCGGCAAATGGATAATCCCTATTTGCTCTTTATAACCAAAAGTCACATGACACAATAAATGCAGTGTCGCACTCATTGCTAAACAACTGTAACACTGAGATACATATTAATTATAAGGCTATCAAATAAAATGAAAAATATCCAATAATTCACTCCTTTCCTCTCGACGCTTCTTCTCTCTAGTCCCTCTTCTCCCCTTCCTTTAGGGCAAAAACCACTTGAACTCAAGAATAGTCTACAACGGCACATAAAAAAAAATTACATTATATAAAAAAAAAAAAAAGAGGAAATTGCAGAACGCACCAAATTTCGTTACTGAAGAGAACGAACCAAGAAATATCGAGCAATATAGCACAGAATAGAAGAAAGGCATAGGTACGACCAAGGCTCTGACTGCTACTCTCAATTGCGACCAAAGCGAACAAAGCGATTGCGAGATTTATGAGCGACACACCATTGTACGATGCTCCCAGCGATCCAATTAACGCGCACGCAATCTTGCATTTTCGATTTTCAAACACGCATTAACAAACAACAATTAAGTAACAATATTTGAAGGCTAAAATAAAAGGTTGAGTACCTGAATGTAAATGAGGATAACAGCGAATGACTGAAGCCTAGCGTAGTCGCGTAACCATGGCTGTATTCGATCTCTCAAATTAAAACAGAATGAACCACAAAGCATCATAAATTTTTTTGACTGATTTAGCTTTCAATCTAAATCAATCGGAGGAAAGGCATGGGATGGAAGAGAATGCATCATCCCCTGAGGTTTGAGGTTTTGTTTCTAACAACTACGTCGTTTCGTTGTGTCGTTCACACTCTTCCCTTTGTTATTTCCTTTCTGGCGAACAGGAAGCAATTCCCATTTTGGGGAGCCAAATCGACGATACTACTTTGGTTGGAGGTACGGCTCAGAGATTGCAACTTATATTATATCCCCCCCTTCCTCTCCACCTGTTAGTCTGTAACCAACTTTTCTCTCTGCTCTCGCTCCCAGAGCAATTCAATTATTTCCCTTTTTTCTATCTATATAAACTCAATTACTTTCTGTTATAAACTGTATCTGTCTATCAATATATAATAGAAAATGTAAGAAAATAAAATAACAAATGTCTTTTTTTTTAATACAAATTTTATATTTACAAACATACATTAAAAAACCAATAATATTTACTTCCTCTCAATAGTCTTAAAATATTTATTAATCGTTCTGTATAAATATCTCTTGAATTTCTAAATAAAAAATATCGAATTATTCTCGTAATTATATATATTTTATATAATGATAAAAGCATTATTAAAGAGATTTTTTTAAAAAAATATAAAAAAGATCTTCAGTTTAATAATATTAAATATGAAATTCTCGCTCGCTGCGAGAATAAAAACATTTGTCAGCCACTTTGTTGTTTGACGGAGCTTCGTGGTAGGTGCCGGGAGGATGTAGCATGTCACGTGTTCTAAGATCCTTGGCAAGTGTAACTTCGTTGCTCTTCATTTAAGAAACCAAGATTTCATTTTGGAATAACCTGTAAGTTTATAAAATATGTAAGATTTTTCATATTATTAATTATTTAAAATAACAATAAATTAATTTTATCTATACTACTTTTATAAATACATTATTATATACTTCTTTTGTTTTGTATTTGTCATGATTTAAATGTTTTTTACTTGTCTTACATTTTTTGTTGCTTTAAATATTAAGAAAATAGTTCATATTTTCTAATAAAATCCTTATTGATTAAGAAAGTTCTTTTAACTAAAATAAATTTACGATTAGTTATCATCTAATTGTTGCAATAATTTCGCTATTTGTAATAAGAACATTTTAGTATAATTAATTTGTTACCGTAATACATAGTAAAATTAATCATTTTCTTAAGATATACGCATGTTAATAAATAACAATTAAAATGACATAAAATATTATTTTTTATTATTTTTTTCCTTCTAAGATTAATTGAATATATATATATATATAATAAATGAAAAGAGTATTACTTATAAAAGAAATATTAAGATATTTTATTTAGTATTTCAAAATTATTTAATATTAATTTGAGTATTATAAAATTTTGATATCAAATAAATTGTTAAATGACATTAAAATATCTAGTTTACAAAATAAAAATATTTTTTAATAAATTGATATTTAAAATGTTAAAAAGTTCCAGTATATAGCTTAAATTTTGTAAGAACTGAAAAAAATTAAAGTATCAAAATTTAACTTATAAACTTATTTTACATATCTAAATTTTTTTATGTTAATTTCTAATTATATGAAATAAATTATTTTTACTTATACATACAAATAAACTAATTCATAATATATGCTTATTTAGACTTCATGTGTACAAGTAATCTCATTGACTTTTATAAAAAGTTTTGCTAATTATTAGTAAAAAATTGTGTGTACATTTTACTATTTGTAAATATATATTTTATAAGAAGAGGTGGTGGATTTGATATTAGTTGATGCAACTATGAAATTTAGATCTAGATTGTTTCTTGTTAATGCATAAACTAGATGCTTAATTCTATTTTAGTTTAAACAAAAATAAAAAAAACGACAAAAGAAAAATAGTAAAATTCGCTTAAGTAAATTTTGCATAATTACTGTCTTCCATAAAGAATAGAGACTAGGAATACTTGAAGGCAAGTAAAAAGGGTCATTAAAGTTTGTTGAGATTTTAGAAAGGAAAGCAATATGCAAGTGAAGGCTAGATAAGAGAATTGAGGAAGGGAAGAAAAGGAGTGGTAGAGCAAGGGAAGGGGAGGGGGCTCTAAGGGTGGGGGTAGGGGTAAGAGAGTTAGAAAGAGAAGGGAGGTGGGGGAGAAAGAATATAAATTTTTTTGTTATTTTCTCTATTTTTGTTTAAGTAAAAAAGATATTAAATATCCAATTCTTGTGTTAACAAAAGAAATTTTAATTCGTGAAACTTGCATTTGCTTCTTATAAGTTAGCACAAAATACCATATTTTAAATCATATTATATGATTTACATTTTCAAAATCTTCTTTCATATGACATTATTATTGTTGTTGATAATTAAAAAATCATACATTATGTTATTTAATTAAATATTGATTCTAAAAATGTGAGTGCTTTTATTTATTTACAAAGAAGTTTTTTATATTTTGAAAAGTGTATTTTTAATTACTCAATAAAATAATACTAATAAATAAGTATAAAAATAGAAAAGATATATTGGATATATTGCTCAGAAAAAACTTTTGTTGCATTTACACATTTTTTTAGTATTTTATATAAAAATAATTTATTAATATGTAATATATCTCTCTTAATTGTAATAGATAAACATGAATAAATGTAGCATGTGATGTTAGTACTCTTAGTTTAAGATAAAATATTAGAGTTTAAGTAACACATGCAATTGAGTCTTAATAATAGTGATAAGAATTATATTAATATAGAGTTAGTTTTAGTTTTATTAAATAAAAAAAAATGAATAAATATCTAATATCTCTCTTAATTGTTACATATAAATATGACTACCCGAATGAATGACATATATGATATTAGTGCTCTTGGTTAAAGATAAAATATTAGAGCTTGGATAATACATACGTGATTTAGTCTTAATAATAGTGATAAGAATAATATAAAATTAATTTTAGTTTTATTAAATGCAAAAATGAGTATATATATATATATATATATATTGTACAAAATTATTTTATAATATAGATTTTAAGAATCAAATTCTTGCTAATTGCTTTGAATTTTTACTTATCAATTTAAATATGGTGGATAGATTCATACATCGATTAAACGAAAATTTGTAAAGGAATTCAAGTTTGAGTTAAAAAGATGAGATTATGTATATTATATATGAATGTAACATTATTGAAACAATATTAAAATAAAAGACAAGAAAGTAGACTACATAGATGACATATTAGGAGAATGATAGTTTTTCACCTTAAAAACATTTAGTAATGTTTTTTTTTTATGTATTTTAATTGTATAATATTTAACAATCACTACTATTGTAGTTTGAGTAATGTTTTACAGGTGGTTCTCTATAAAATATAGTTTATGTTGTACTTTATGAAAAAATAATGCTAACAAGGCTTCAACAATGATTGAAAATATGAAAAATTTGTTATAGACACTAACAAGCTTTAGTAACCAATCTTGAATTAATGACATTTTGTAAGATGAAGGTAAACATTCCTTTATTTATTTTATGCAATATAGCAAGTGCTCACTACGTAAATTTTTTCATTTAGTTATGCATTAATAAATAAAAATTCAAAGGTAACAAAAAGGTAAGTGTTGGTGAAAAATGCTTGTGTTAATTATACTACATTAAGGAATTAGAGAGTTTTGATTAACTACATCGAAAATTTTCATTTGAGGAATTGGAGTTGATTCAATTTTAGAGAATTTAACCTTCATTGCATGAAAAATAAAATAGATGAGATAATTTTTAATATAAAAGGTGCAAATATGAGTGAATTTAAGTTATTCTTAAGGTGTTTTAAGCTCAAAAGATCTTTCACTAATTGCATCAATCATTAATTTTTCATTAGCTTTAAGTTCATTATAGAATATTTGAGATTAAAGTCATTTAGTTAACTTATGATAAGAGCATATTCTTAACAATTCTTTATATCTTTCCTATGTTATCATTAAGTGATTCATGGTCTAACTGCACAAAGGATATAATTTTCTTTCTTAACTAATTTTGTAGAAGGAAAGTATTTGTTTAGGAATTTAATGGCCAAATCTTGCCATGTAGTAATGTTTCATTATGACTGAGCTCTCAGCCAACTCTTTGTTGTATCTTTTGGTGAAATAAAAATATTCTCACCCTAAAATGTTAATATCAACTTTGAGTATGAGCATAAGCAATTATAATACTAAAAATTTATTTTTAAAAAAATATTAACTTTTATAACTTTAATATAATAAATATTTGCTTTCTATACAAATTTTCTATTTATGGAAGCTTTAATTGTGTTGAAGATAACAAAAGAAACACCAATGTTACGATAATTGGTGGCGCATACAACTCTGGAGCCACTAAACATAACACTCTTTTATAGAAAACATAAAGGCATTTGGTGGAAACAAGTTTCAATTTTGATCCATTATGAAACTCCTCCAAACAAATTGTGCACATGTGTGAAGAATAAGCATATAGATTGGTTTCTTTAACTTTCGTCAATGAATCTACAATATTATGGGATACAAATAATACATGCTGTTCATCATCAATGTCATTATCATTTTTGCAAGGTCATGTTGTAACAAGGAGATTCACTTCCATCTCCCACATGTTGCATCCTTGGTTTACTGCAACCATGTCTCTAGCATATTCACCAAGTTGGGATAGAATTTCAATCAATAATGTGGGGGAATAGGCACGGAGGAGAATGTGTCGTGCAATAAAATTGTGTTGTGCTTATCTAAGATCGTGATTTCGTTACAATCACATAAGATTTTAGGAAGAAATAAGAATATGCTATTGATGTTTGTAGAGTTTGTAGTAGAATTTAAGGAGTGCGTTACGTGGTTGGTATAAGAAAAATTAATGTAGAAAGAAATGCTAAAAGAGCTTTCTTTGGAGATAGATATGGTTGATTGATCATAAGAGTTCAAATAAAGTGAATATGTGAACTCCATAGTTGATGTTTGACACAATGTTTCTAACAGTTTAAGATGGAGAGTGAACTATTAATATAACTTTAGCCTTATGAGTGCTTTTATAAGTAAAAGTTTAAGTCATTGAGAAATTTTTTTCTCAAAAGATAGAGGTCTAATATTTAGAGAGAGAAACTTAACTTACCTTTATCTAATCTTAAGTTTAATACATAAAAAATTTTAAATTTTATCTCTTATTAATAACAAAATTTTGCAATGTGTATGTGATGGAAAATTGAGAGGAGAGAAAACACTTCAAAAGTCCTTACTGAACCATTGAATTTAATACCAAGATGTTGCATGGCTTCAAAAATATTGAATTTACCTTTTTCATCTTGAACCATTAGCATAAGTTTACCTTACTGAATATTAATAAGGGCCCTTCTTGTGTCTAAAAAAGGTTTTTCCTGGATAAAAGATACTTTTTTATCTTTTTCTATGTCCATGACAACAAAATTTACAAAAAAGATAAATTTATCCATTTTAAATAGAATATCTTCCATAATTTCATATGGTTGTTTAATGGATTTATTTACCAATTGAAGAATAATTTTGATTGACTTAATTTTTCCACTACCTATTTTTTTAATGGATAAAGGTATTAGATTTTTACTAGCTAGCTCCTAAATCACAAAAAACTTTACTAATAATCATATTGTCTATGGTATAAGAAATTGTGAAGCTCTCGCAATTATTGAATTTAAGTGGTAATTTTCTTTGTAAGATAGCACTGTATTATTCTGTTAATGTGATTGTTTCGTTATTTTGCAGCTCATTTTTTAGTATGAAATTTCTTCATAAATTTAGTATATGTAGGCATATGCTTTAATGGTTTAACAAAAGAAATGTTAATCTATAGTTTCTTAAAATTTTTTATGAATTTCCTTTACTGCTCATCATTTTCTTTCTTTTTCCCGTGATTGAGGATATGGAAATTTTATGATAAAGGAAATTCTTGATTTCTTTCTTCCAATAGTTGATGCTTGGTCATTTTTAAAGGAAAATTTTCATTTGCTAGCTTTGATTTACTTTCCTTATTTTAAACTTCCTCCTCTATTACCTTTTTTGCTTTGTTTTTAATTTCACATTTATTCTCATTTTGAGAATTATTTTGAGCATCTCTTCTTAAATCTTCATCTTCCTTCTTAGACTTTCTTTGCACAATGCAATATAATATTCTTCCATTTCTTATGACTATATCTTGCAATTAGCCTTGTGATTTACTATTTCATAAGCTAAAATGTGACTTGTCTTAATTAAGTTTCTATATTCTAATTGATGTTTCATGATTCTTAAACATGACTTTGGTCTTACCTTTTCAAATATAGAGGATAAGTTACTAGTAGTCAAAAACTAGATTCTAGTTTATTGCCTCATTTTATTAACTTTTGTTTATAATCCACTCACATGTATAAGTCATTTTAACACTTTAATACGTTGTTTCACCTTAACATGTTGCATCAAAACTAGAAGAATGCAAATTTATGAAATATTGCAATGACATCACCTCCAAGGTGCCATTAAGAGTGAGCAAAAGAGATAACCAACCAAAATCAAATAATTTGATAAGTAAAAATGAACATACAATTGGTTCAAATTGAAATTAAGTAACATAAAAAAAAAAGTTTAAAACAAATTTAGTTGATCGGAATTTTATGATTTTGCATCCATTGAAACTTAAGTCTGAACAACCATTCCATTAACCATCTCTAAAATTTTCAAATCCATTTTTGCACTTATTTTAGTTAGTTTACTCTCTCTTTCTCTTGCATTATTGATATTTTTGAAAATTTAGTTAGAGATTTCATTTCTCAATCTTCTCAAATTGCATATATTAATCCTCACTTCCACAACTATCCTACAATGTCAGTAATGACTTTTGTCAGTTTTTATAGTATTTTATCTCTAACTTTAATCATGCTTTGACTTTTAATATTGATAATGCTTCGTCATCAACATTAATGGTGTTATATTTTTAATCATCTTTAATAATATTTATCTCTTTCTAAATTCTATTTTTTTAATCTCTTTTTATTGTCTTTATTTCTTTTATTATTGGTTGTTTGTGTTTTAATTTTTGCTTTATCAATAACAAATTTTATTTTAAATATGATCATATATTAAACTTAGTTGAATTTATTTACTAAATTCGTAATAAACTCAACTTAAAAAAAATAAACAAAAATAAAATTATCTCAATTTTATATTTTAAAATCCAAATCACATCCTAATGCCATCTACAACAATGGTCACATCTATAAGTTTTTATTAATATTTGCTTTGTGACACCATAAAAATAAGTTTTTAAAATTATATTTTAAACATTTAATTTATTATTTTATTTAAATATTTTATATTTTTATTATTAATAATATATTATACTTGTATTATTTTTTTAATTGTTATATAAATTTTAGAATAAAAAATTTAATTTAAAAAACTAAAAAAATTTAAATATAATAATAAAAATAAAAGTAAAAATTATATAAAAATTAAAATATACAAATAAAAATGTCATTAAAATAAAAAATAAAATTTTATAAGTAAATTTTAAGATTAATTTTTTAAACACACTCTTAATTAGTATTAAAATTAATTAAAAAAATAAAAAAATATAAAAAACATAAATTTTATAATTTTCAGTAAATTTTAGAACGAACAATGTTAGGAACGTTTCGCATGCCCATTTATATGAACGGGGTGTGAGCCCGGGGGAGAAGTTTAGTGCAACCCACGCCCCATCAGAGAATGTCGCAGGGAGATTCGTCGTCCTCTAAATCTTCAGATGGAGATGCGTCCTCGGAGGCCGCAGCATCGCTGGCGTCGATTGCAGAGAATCTCCAGCGTTCTGCCATTGAATCAGCTCGAGCTGTGCAACATAACTCTTCCACTCATTTCCGTGCCTTTCAGGTTCCCTCATCTCACCTTTTTCCTTCTCTATGCATTTCCTGTACATTATTACCGCTATAAGCAATGCAGATAACATGGCTACTCTACGTTTTCCCTATTTGCTCTATTTCTTTGTTAATTGGTTAGAAGGTGAATACTGAATTGAGGGTTTCCATTTCTGTGTTCTTTATTAGCTGAAATTAGACGGGAAGAAGGGGACTGACATACACAACAAAGAGTCATCGATGAACCGTTCTTTATTAACTGTATTTCTGTGGCTAATCTGGAGTCCTGGAACGTAGAATAATTAACTCCCTTTAGGCCCCGAGAGGGGGGGGGGGTGTCATGATTTTTAAAGAGATTAAGTTGTGTTTCAAATAAAATAAAAGATCTATGAAGATTTCATGGGTTTTCATAAGCAATTTTAGAAGTTTGGGGAGTGCTATGGCCCTTGAATTATTTGTTCCGCCACTGCCACATTATGTGATACTAATGCTGTATATAACACCTTACACCCTTTCTCTAACGATGAATGTGGATGGATTGTTTGTCATTGAATGATACTTTGTGATGGAAAGTCCCTTGGTGAGAATATATGCAAATTGTTCCGCTGATGCTGCAAGCTCGTGCTCAATTACTTTATAGGAAAGAGCGAGAAAATAGTGTAGGACACCAACCAAGCTTCTGTGGCTCGTAAATTCCCTATAGCTTTTCCACCCACTGCCGTGATAGGATCTTCTTCCATGGCAGTATTTGTTTGCTGGGCTTGAAATTATTGTGTTCTGCTTATAATGGACCTAGAACATCAGGATAACTAAGGAAGAGTATTAAGTTATTGTGTTATATTCATAGCATCACAGTTATTCAGATTTCATAATCTTCCTAGTTAAATCAGGCAGTGCTGCTAGTGCACCATTTTGAAATCTTTGTTTTTCTTTCTTCTTGAATAAAATTTCTGTTTTCCCCCTTGCTTAAACTAATGAATTTATGTTTAATCCCCACTAAATCTAAAGAAATATCTGTTTGCCCTCACTTAAAGTCTTTTGTTGTCAAAAGCAAGCAATAATGCTAGTTTTGTGGCATTGTGTTGCAGTGGAGTCCACTACAGGCACAGAGCATTTATTCTTCATGTCTGTCACGCTTGTGATTGTCCCCATATTTGTGCTGATTTGCAGCTGTCATGGCTGTTAACAAAGTGGTATAAGCCCTATCCCCTTTTTTGTGTTATTTGATCAATTTCTTAGTATATTTTTGCAATTTCCCCCTTTTTACATCAGAATAGTGTGCAGGGATCAAAACCCTTGTTCAAATGTTGATTCATGCAAATGTCCACTGCTTTCTCCTTTGTTTCAAGCAAACCCAATGTCCAACTCACTGCTTATTGTTTTCTTTTTCTGGTTAAGTCCTGCCATTGCTCCTGTTTATTGTTCACACCATGCATGCCGTCTTTCAGTTTTCGCACAAGTTCTTTGAGTTCTCACATTGTTCTGTGCTATCCTTGTAACTCTGTTCTGTTCCTCACCATTCTTCTTTCTATTGATGTGTATGTATACTAAGTCTTTTTACTAGTTTCAAACTTTAGTCTTTTTTAAATTTTAATCAATCTCAGGCTTGGTTGTTGGTTGTGCCTTGCTACATCCATTAAGATGACCATAATATTGTATCCTCTTGCTAAAGTCAAAATAGGGCGGCTTGAGTGTCTAGCGCAGCTTGGCATGGGTTTGGCCAGGCTAGCCACCAGATATTGAAAGACACAATGCTCATGCAAGAGTATCTGCTAGTATTGCCACTTCATTTATCTAGCTCTACATGCTACACCTTTGCCACTGTAACTACCACCAGTACTGTCACAGCTGCCAACATTTCATCCACCATCTTCACCACTGTTATCCACTTCAGTAGTTCCACCTCTACTTGTGCACCATCACTATGCCTGCCATTTCTATCATTGTTGTTGCTATTGCCACTCCTATTTTTTTTATTAATATTATTATCATTGTAACCTCGGCCACTGCCACCATCAACCCTGCAGCCCATGCTGGCCCAACTATCACTAACATTTTTGCCATCATCACTTTCATTTTTTTAACAACCAATGGTACCTTATTTCTGTCCAATGAAAATATCAGTTTATCAAAAAGTTTCTTTTAATAACTTTGTCTAAAGTTCTTTTGGGTATCCTTCAATCCCTTTTAATTTGACTAAAAGTCATGTAATTCACTCTCTTTACTGGTGCTTCTAAAGATCTTCTCTGTACATGACCAAACTACTTGTAACGATTTTTAGTCATTTTTTCCGTTATAGATGTTATTTCAATTTTTTTTGTATACTATCATTTCGTGTTCTTTCCTTTCTCGTGTATTCGCTTATTCACCTTATTATTTTCATTTTTGTCACTTTCACTTTCTTTTCATGTTCTTTTAAGGCTTAGTATCCATTACCATATAGGATTTCGTATTGCAATATGATAAACTTTCCCTTTAACTTGATATGTGCTTTACGGTCACAAATAATTCTTGATGTTTTTCTTCACTTTAACCATCCAACTTGTATTCTATGAGTAATATCTTCATTAATTTTCCATCTTTTTGTATAATTGATCGCAAGTATTTGAATCTGAAAAATTATGGTATAATATCATCTCCAACATTAACTTTCAAGGCATGATCTTCATCTTGTTTTTTTGTTAAAGTTACAATGCATAGACTCTGTATTACTTTTACTTAAGCGAAAACACTCCTTTCATAACTTAAGTTTAGCATTAACCTTCCCTTTTGAAATCCTTACTATATCATCTGCATAGAGCATACAACAACAACAACAACAACAACCCAGTCTTATCCCAATACTTGAAGTCGGCTACATGGATCACACGATGCCATTGAGCTTGGTCAAAAGCCAAATCTTTAGAAATCTGGTTAATCAAAAAGTCTTTTTTAATAACTTCGTCTAAAGTTTTTTTGGGTCTCCCTCGACCTCTCTTTACTAAATTAAGAGTCATGCAGTCCACTCTTCTTACTAGTGTCTCTAAAGGCGTTCTTTGCATATGACCAAACCACCTTTCATAACTCAAGTTTAGCATTAACTTTCTCGTTCGAATCCTTAACCAATCATCTGCAAAGAGTATGCAACAATAACAACCAAGCCTTATCCCACTAGTTGAAGTCGACTACATGGATTACATGATGCCATTGAGCTCGGTAAAAAACTAAATCTTTAGAAATTTGATTAATCAAAAGGTCTCTTTTAATAATTTTGTTTAAAGTTCTTTTGGGTCTTTCTCGACCCCTCTTTACTGGACTAAGAATCATGTAGTCTATTCTTCTTAGTGGCAGCTCTAAAGACCTTTTCTACCCATGATCAAATCATCATAGACGATTTTTAGTCATATTTATCACTATAGGTGCGACTCTAATATTCGCTCGTATATTATCATTTTATATGGATTTGCAGAGAGCATGCATTTGAGGGATAATCTTATGTATGTCACTTGGAAGCACATCTATGACTAGATTAAACAAGTAAAGGCTAAAAGTGGAGCCTTGATGTAAACCTATTCCTATTGAGAAGCCCTTAGATATTACAAGATGATATTAAAAGTGTCTTGTGCAATTATGCTTATTCCGTTCTTTCACTTGACTTTTCCTGTGTACCAAAGTTTGAATCCTAAAGTATTGAACTCCTTAACCTTATTTTCAACCTATTTTGTTTCTTGAAAGCACATGATGTTAATCTTTCTATGAAGCATAGTGTCCACTACTTTCATTGATTTTCTTGTTAAAGTATCAATATTCCATGAACCAAACCAAAACACGTGTTCTTGAATAACTTCTTTACCCACATTTATCTAGTCAAATGTAAGGACTCATGTTTATTTAACACTACATCCGGGCGCCGATGTAGCTTCTCTAGCTCATTTGACCCGATACTTGAGCCATATAGCGCATTACTTTCGGGTAACAACCTAGTCTTAGCGCAATATTGTCGTGTGAAATCCATATAAAAGGTTTTGACATGTTTTACATTGGTTGCTGAAGGCCTAACACAACCCTTGTCCTTCATTGGGCTTAGGACCAACTATGGGGCCATAGGCCAAGTTATTCACTCAAATAATAGTATTAGAATTAGTAACATTATTTCCTGATTCTTTGTATACTCATACTTAAAATTTGATGCTCTGAATTAATTGATTTTTGTAATAAAAATTAGAATTCAAATTATAACTTCAGTCATGAATTTCACATTTGTTATCCAAACAGAGCCTAATACATATTTGATCATATTCAATTCAGAAGCGTATGGCATATTTAATTAGATTCAATCCTGAAACATCTAATAACATGCTATATCATATGGTTTAAGCTGCTAAACATGTTTAAAGTTATGGGACATGATTAGTTATGTTTTTTATTTTTCTTGAGATCATACAAAGCCTCAATTAACAATATGTAAGAAAATAGTAAACATAGTCATATCATTTTGCAGATCAAATCTTAAGTTATTTTTATGAAATTTTTGAAATCCAATAACAACCATTTATTTTTCCATTGGGTAAGATTAGCTACATGGATCATATAACGTCATTGTGCTTAGTCAAAAACCAAAACTTGAGAAATATTATCTATTATTAGATCTCTTTTAATGATTTTGTTAAAGTTTTTCTAGGTCTCTGTCTACTCTTTTTTGTTGAACTAAAAGTCGTATCATTTACTTTTCTCACTAGTGTCTCCAATGACTTTTGCACGTGACTAAACCAACCTTAGACAATTTTCTGTCATTTTTTCTGTTATAGGTGCTATTCTAATATTCATACGTATACAATCGTGACTAAATCTTGTCCTTTTTTTGTGTGACCATGCATCTATTTTAATATTTTCATTTTTGTCACTCTCACTTTTTTCTCATATTATTTCTTTAAAGTTTAATATTTATTAACACATGGTTCTCACTTTGTTTTTTGCTAAAATTGCAAAATATATACTCTGTCTTATTTTTGCTTAGTAAAACTCTTGGATTCCAAACTTCACTTCCATAACTCAGGTTTGGTGTTAACCTTTTTTTTATTCTTGAACCAGCACTATGTCATTCTTAAAAAACACACATTTACGGATAATTATTTGTATGTTACTTGTAAATGCATCTAAGATTAGGTTAAATAAGTAAGGGCTTAAGATGGAGTTTTGATGTAAACCTACCCTTATAGGGAAGTCTTTAGATATGCTTTTAGAAGTTCTCACACATGCAATTACCCTCTCATACATGTCTTGTGTAACCTGAATATGTGTTACATGAATCCCTTGATTACTTAAATTTTTGAAATATTGTTCATAAATAGAAGGTTCTATTTTGTGTTTCCTATTTATTGTTCTTTTATAAGAGCTTGGTGGGATACTTGTATTTGCTTTCCTGCTTTTGTTTATAGAGAAAATAACCATTCTTCTAATGGCATAGCTTCTTTTTCCACTGTTTGATTTTTCATTTTTTTGGTGTTAAATCTTGTATGAATTTGTGAACTTCCTGATCATGTGGCATCCCACTTTTACCCTCATAAATTATGAATGGCTCCAAAACTCATCTGGTTATGCATGATTCTTTTGCAGAATTTTTTACCGGAAGCAGTATCACAGTATAGAACTTACGAAGATGCTTTCTTCAATAAAGTTAAAGGTGATTAAAAATGGATTGATCTTGTGAGTGTTGCTTGTGTCCTTCAACTTTGATGCAGATTTTGATGGTCTAGTATAAAGGTTTTGGCAAAAGTAAGGTTAAACTTTTGTGGCAGCATGTAATTTTGCAATCATTCTTTTGAATTTGATTGTAGCAAAACGCTTGCATTTCTAAGGATATCTCTTTGTTTGTCCCTATACTTGTTATGGCATAGCATTATGTTTGTGGCCTCTGGTGTTCAATTCATAATTGTTTCTTTGAGGGTTTTCACTTACCAATACTCAGAAGGATCAGCCTTAGGCAGCCATGATTTTCTTGTATTAATTTTTTCTGTTTGGTAGGATATTTTTCCTACCCTAGTAATGATTGACCCTAGCATAAGATATCTCTAATAATTTTTATTTTTTCCATTAAAAATGAATACTATCAATCTTATTTTAAAATTCTTTTTCTTGGATAAATTAATGCTGAATGTTATCAGTCCTCAAACAAGTTGGTGGCCATAGAAACATCAGAGTTGTTTATGCTTTGTGGTAATCTTTTGTGTATATGGCATTGGTGTATGATCTTACCCTTTTGCAGATGGATTGATGATTGCACGGGAGCATCAAGCTTTAGGTGTTGGTTTGGCTATTTCTGCTGCCCTTCTTGCTATGCGTGGTATTCTTTTTCACATCATTTGCACATACAAGTAACAAATTTTCCTTTTGGCATCTCGGGCTTTTTTTTTTGAAAAAGGCTCAATACAATATCTCTTTATCATAAAACAAATTCTCTTATCAAGTTTTAAATACATTATCACAAAACAAGTTATTACATTGTGACCAAACTTGGGAAACTAGAGCAGCATTAGTTCTCTTTTCTTCATGTATCCTTTAACGACACCTGATTTACCACATGGAAGCTTAAATCAGTAATATCTGTTTTTAGTTGATAGAATCAAGAAGTGACCCAACAAGTGGAACATGATATGCCAAAACATAGATTCAAAGATAAAAATCAGTCATTATATTTTCCAGAAAATTTGAAAATTTCAATAGGAAGATACAAATTTTTAGACCAATGAGCTTTCCGAATTTCAGTATTAAAAAATAAAGATATCAATCTAGTTGATGATGCTAGTGGAAGGGATCCCATTTACCTAAGATTTGGAGACCAATACAAGAAATAATTTTAAGTGAAGGGGAGGTGATGTAAGACAATAGGGGTCAATTATAATGAGTAGTGGAAGACCCTAGAAAAGTTTATTTAGAAACCGTTAAGAAATGACTTGCTCGAATTGGTTTTTAATGTAGCTCAATGGCATTGATTGACCTGTGTAGCTGACCCACATGGTGATGTATAACGTATTTTGTTACATATCTTTCTTGGAAAATATGAACATTATGGCTCTTCTGTGCTGTATATTGCTTATGATCAGAGCCAGATTTATTTATGCTGTTTTCTGTCTCAAATATCACTGATTTCTAAATTGTTTTTACCTAATTACTTTTGGTTTTTGCAGCTCCAAGAAGGTTTCTGTTCCGTCATACATTGGGTCGATTTCAAAGCGAGGAGGTATTACTCAGTTGAACAATCAAGATACATCATCCCTAACCTATATTCTTACATAATGCTCCTCTATTTGTGATGCATAACCTGCTCTTTCCTTCTTTTGTAACTTGATTTCTTAAACCCTTGTACAGTTCTATATTAAAAATAGTAATATTTCTCCAGTGCTGATTCTGTTATTTCTTTCACCTTTTTCATGAATGCTTATGAAGGCACGGTACGCTAGTGCTGAGAAGAATGTAAAGGACTTGAACCTTTCAGTAGATATACTTAAGAAGGAGAGCGTAAAATTGCTTCAAAGGACAGCTCTTGCTGAGAAGGAAATGAAATATGGGCATACCGAACTAGTGTATGTATTATCAGTTAAAGCAAGGATATCTTAGTTATTTGATTTCAGATAAAGTATGCCCGAAGTTTATTAATTCCCATAAATGTTTAGGAGCGCTGGAATCCAATATCAACAGCTGGCAAAATCAGCATATAAAGTTGAAAACCAAGCTGCTGGTATGCTGTCTTTCTTTCTTAATCACATTTTTATTAAAAAAATAAATAAATCATATTTTGTTTATTCAATGTCTTTTTTTATTAACACTTTTTAAAAAAGAAACAAAAATCAGGAGTTTCTTTCGTAATTCTCTCTTATTTGCTTTGGGTGATTCTCCCTTTCTTTTTTGCTTTGGGTTTGGTGATATCTATTGCCGCATTGGAACTTACCCTCATTTATCATGCCCTAGATTTGCTAGATAAGTTGCGGTATATACCTAGTCGGGAAGCTCTGACACTTCGAGCTGAGGCAAGTCAACTTTGTATTTGTGCGTTTCCGCAAAAGTCCAGTAATGTTACATTAGTTAATACTATTTTCTCTCTGCCACAAACACGTGATCAGGTTGCATCTGTGGCTTCAATTTTGAAGCGCCAGAGATCTGCGCTGGACAAACGGATAATGAAGATCAACGAGTTAGGGGTTGCTGTGTGACGAATTAATGGACCTCCTCTTGATGCACACCCATCATCCCAATTTTCTTGAATAAATTCTCCTGTTGAAGAGGTAGATGGCTGTACGTATAATGCAGACCCATTTCCCGGGGCATCTGTTTTTTGTTTTGTCAATTCAGAGAATCGGTAGATAGGCTTCATAAAGTTGCAACTGGAAAATGATTTTGAATACCATAACTTTGTAACAATTTAAGTTGGAAGAGTCCTATTCTCATTGTTTACATCTGTTAAGGATATGCAAATGAATCCCCCATAAAATTACATGAAAAAAAAAAAACAACACTCATCTGATGTAGCAGGAATGTGGCAATTAACTACTATTCTATTATTTGAACATTTGAAAATTAATATTTTGCGCCATTTTGTATGCGATTATCTTTATCTTTTACCAGTTTTCTATACATGAATTTAACAAATACAGTTCAGAAAAGGAGAGCAATAATTTTTTTGTTTATTTTGATCAAAATGTTCATGCTTTTCTTTAGGGGTGTTATACAAACCGCCACTGACCAGAAACTGTTAGCAAAAATGATTAAAAATAGATGGGTTGGGTTGAAATTACGAGTGAGAAAAATGTGGATTTCAAGGCTTGTTTAGCCCACAAACACTGTACACGACTTTACAACTGGTTCTCTGTTTTTTTTTTTGGGTCAAGGACTATACAACTGGTTCAAGTGGCCTTCATAGGGTAGGTGTGTTCCTTAGCAACAAAAAATAATCACGTGTAACACATTTTACAAAAATAAACCTAAAGCTCTCTCTCTCTCTCTCTCCATACCTTCATGCCGTTAGTGATTGAATTTACGTACTTTTGATTAGTTCTTTCTTCTCCTTCTGATTTTCACTTTCTATCCTTCTTCGTGACTCGTTCATTCTCTCTTCATGCTCGTTGCTGTTTCTCTCTAGTCTTCAACTCTTCGCGCTAATGTTATAATTTTCCTCCATTTTTGTTCTCAAGCATTTCCTTTCTTTACTTAAATGACGCACTATTTAACAAAAAATAAAATCTCTATAATTCTTAATCTTAAAATTTTGATTTGAAAAGTTATACCAAAATTTGAGCTTCTCAACAAATTTTTTTTTAAATCACTCATAGTTGTACTCATATTTTGAACTTCTAAATAATTTATCATCCAATTTTATGAAAACGTGTAAAATAATTAAACATAAAGTGGAGGTATGCGTATAATTGATAAAAAAAATAGTTAGTGTTGCCTTGAATGTTGAAATTGACAATTAAATAATTTCCCCCCCTAAAACTTGAAAAGAAAGGAGGGAGTATAACATATGACTATGAGGTTTCATAATCGTTAGTGATATTCGGTTATGACAGTATGCTTCTTATTCCAATCTCAAAATTTAACCACGCTAAAAAATAATATTTTTCATTTTACTTGCGTCAACTCTTTTTGGTTAAATTATATTAATTAAGCCATATAATAAAATAAAATTGATGGTACAATTTTTAAAAAATGTTTATTAAAAATCGATTTCTTGTGAAGGTTTTGGTTTGATTCATTTATCTAAGTTCATACAAAAATGATTAGTTTGATTCGGATGGTTTTCTTTTAACTGAACTAATATAATCCACAAACACCCCACCAACTTAAAAGGTGAATAAATATTAAATAGCCATGCGTACGTAGTCTACAGCTAGGCCTCATAATTTCTTGGTGGCTAACAAAAGAACTTGTCAATTGGTGGTTGTTGATAAAAGGACAAAAGCAGAGGGACAGAGGGTTATGGGAATGATGAGTGGCATTGAAGCAGCAATGGAAATGGAACGAGTATTTGGAAGGTAGAAATGGTTGGATTATTAAGGAATTGCTTGGTACCATATTGTGGAGGAAAAAAAAAGGTATAATAATAATGAGTCCTTAATTACTTTTTGATTTGGTATCATCCAATGAAAAAGAAATGGGGTTTGTTTATTTTCAACAAATGAAAGTGTAAGTGGGTAAAAAATTATCATACTAATTAATTGTTATTTATTTAATAAATTGATTTTATAAGAAAGAATTTAAAATATGAATGCGCATGTAAACATTTTCTTTTTCTCTGTCATATTCAATAGAGAAGGGTTGCAAATAGTGCATTTTTAGTCAGCTCACACTTCCTTTCCTTGCCAACATATCATAACCCGGTAGTCCTTCTTTACCTTCTTAATCAACTCTACCAAACAAGGACTAAGGCATATACGATTCAAAGAATTAATGGCGATAGAAAAAGTGGATTCAAAATTCAAAGATGTGCAGCAAATCAAATGGGCCAATGACTACGATGCAAGATATTTGTTTTCCCCCGTTTAGTGACAGATTTTCATGCGTCTATCTCTTTGAACTTATTTTAATTTATCTTCTTTGAATAGGTTTGACTTTTCTGAAAGATTAAGAGTCCGTTTGGTTCAAAGATAAAGATAATTATTATATTTATCTTTAATTAAATGTTTATTAAGCTATAATTTAGAATTAATTTATCTTGTTGAATTAGTATAATTATTATTTTAGAAGATAAAATATTAATTATCTTTTATAAAATACTCTTAGTTTATTCTATTACCTCTTTCTTCTCTCTATTTTTATATATTTTTAAAATTAAAAAAGTTAGATTATTTATATATTTTTTATAAATTAAAAATAAATAACTTATAAAAAGTAAATAAATTTAATTTAATTTAGTAAATATTAATTTTATCATTTTCTACATATTTGTTGTATTTTTTTTTTATTAAATCAGTATCAAACATTAGATATAATAAAAGTTTATCATGTTCTTATCGTATACTACTTTTATTTTACTCTTTTATTTTATACATTCTAATTCTATCATGTCTACCAAATGGGCCAAAATAAATTTTGAAGAATAAAATGTTTATTTATAACTGTTGAAATTTTGATATTTGTATAATTTGTTATAAATGTATTTTATTATATATTATATTGTTTTGTTTTTTGTATTTGGTTATAATCTTAAACTATATTTTCCACCAATGATTATAACTCTGAAATTTTCTTTTTAAAGTGCACTCTTTACATTAATCGAAAAACCAAATCTTCATTTCGTTGGAAGTTGTTTAGCTTGCTGTTAATGAGCTGAGAAAACATGAACTTTCTAACCTTTGCTGCTTCACTGGAATCAAGGACAAATTTTAAACTCAATCCAACTCAATGTCTTTGCATTCGATTATGACCTGACATGTTATAATTTAACATGAGAAAACTCATTTCAAATAATAAGAACATAAATTAAATAAACTTTTTTTTCAAAAATAGTAAATCTTTATTTTCTTATCTTGATTATATTTTGTGGTGAATAAAATTTAGGAGATTAAAAAGACTAAAAGTTAATGAAAGTTTAGGAGAATAGAAGTTTCAACATTCTAAGGAAATTAGTGTTACTACTATGGAAACAAGTCAGGTCAGACCAGACTTTACTCTAAACAAGCCTGACCTGTAACATAATTATTAGGCCTAAACCTGACCTGTTACCTGTTAAAGGCTTTATTTTAGGCCTGGACTGGCCTGTTTAAGTGGCCTGACCTGGCCTGAAGCCTGTTAACAAAGCCTCTTAAAAAAAATTAATATTAATAAAAATATAAATATTTTATTATTAAATTAGTTTATACATTTTTATAATTTTTATCTATGTTCTTAATAATTATTAAATAATTATAATAATATTTATATAATTTTATAAATAATTTTTAAAATATTATTTAAGTATTAATTATAAATATTTTATATTAATAAAATTTATATTTATATTTTTTTATTTATTTTTTAAAATTATATAAATAGTAAATATTTTAGTTTTATTTTAGAAACATATTTTGTTTATTTAAAGACATCTTATATTTAACAAATAAAGTTATAGCAAATACATAAAATTGATAAAAAAAAATAACATTCACACAGTTTGTTTAATCAATTAAAAGAAAATTATATATTTTAAAAAAAATAAATTTAAACTTACTGCAATATATATATATATATATATATATATATATATATATATATAGATAATAATAATAACTATTAAATTAACAAAATAATTACAAAAAATAACACATATAAAATTTATTGAATCAGCTAAAAAAAATTATTATATTTTAAAAAGTAAATAAATATCGTCATTATAAAAATTGTAGATGATAAATACTTATATTATAAAATTCATAGATGTAGAAAAATAACATATGAGCATAGGAAGAATTATTAAAATTTATATTTAAATTAAAATAACTTATATTTCTAAATTTTTATCTTAATTAAAAAATATGTGATAAAACTTAATATAAAAATTTAAACTTAATATACTATATATATATAAAATGAAAACAATAATAACTATTAAATTAAAAAATAATTAAAAAATATTTAATTTTATTTGTCTCATTAATTTGTTATTTTAAATTAACAAATAAATGTAAAATTAACTACACTATAATATTAATGTAATATAGAAAATATTAGTGATACAATAAATTAAAACACATACTTGTAAATTACATATAAATTGACTAATAATTTAATTAAAACATGTGCAAGTTATAAAAATATATATTATTATATAATTTATTTATAATTATATTATTTATATTATTTGCTACATGGTCTGATTATATATATATATATTAATATATATTATAATAAATTTTTTATTTTATTTTGTTATCATTTTTTTAATAAATTTTTACTTTCAAATAAAATATAATTCAGATTTAAGCAATCTCTATTTATTATAAATAAAAATAATTATAACATAATATATTAATATAATAATTAAATAATTAAATTAATAATAATAAAATTAAGAGTATAAAAAATATGTTAATATAATTTATTATTTTATTTTTAAATTTTATTTCATTTAGTTTTGATTACGTCTTATTCCTGTTCAAAGACTTAACTATTTTTTAAATTGTTTAAATATAATAATTTATTATTAAATAAATTTATTATTTAAAAAGTGTAATCATGTATAAATATTTTTAATTTTTAATATAATATAATTTCTGTTCATTATAATTATAAATAAATAAAATTATAACATAATATATTAATTTAATAACAACAAAATTAAGAATATAAAAATATATTATTAAATAATTTTATTATTTAAATATATTTTTATAGCTTTATTTTTAAATTATAATATATATATATATATATATATATATATATATATATATATATATATTTATACAGGCCGGCCTATCAGGCTTAACAGACTTTATAAACAGTTTAAGTCTGACTTGTTTAC